CCAATGTGCCAAATACATCTGAAGTTGCAAGGCATGCACTTCTGTCTGCTAATTTGACCTTTACAGATAGTGAAACGTTGCCTTCTGTTACAGGTTAATGAATTTCTTTTAGTTTTCTGTAGTCAATGCTGGTGACTTGTACAAATTGTATTCTTCTCCTTTTTTCTTACATGGTATTTAGATACGATGTAGTGCTTATAATAAATTGAACTATTTAGATACAGAGAAATGGTGCAACTTTCGGGGACCAGCAATATCAAATGGACGATATTACCATGGAAAAGATACTGAAGCTCAATGTCAGCTCAATTCTAATGAGCAGCCTACAAGGCAATTCTTCTTAAGGTGACTTTTGGAAATTTTCATGTACTTTAACAGTAGCTTGCTGAAACCATATATTTAAGTGGTGAAAGTATACCTCACATAACAATCAGGTTGCAATACAAGGTTTGGTTATACTATCAAGGCCATTAATTTTACGTGGTTGTGCATATTTGTGGTATCCAAATTGAGCACATCAAGTCTGAATCTTGAGATCTGAGGCTTAGGACCTCTCTTTTGTATACATATTTGCAATGTTCAGCCACAGAGATTGATGCTCCAATCATTTTTACATCTTGGATTTAGAATTCTGCCCAATTGGGATTTTTAAGTTGTTATGCTTGTACATGTTTCATTGACTTGATTTAACGGAGAGCGCGAAACTAAGATGTGGTGCAGATTTGTGTGCATGAATAAAAATGAGGACAAGTGCATATTCTGGTTTAAGGACTATACTCTTGTACTATATTCTGTTGTTTTGCAGAAACTTGGCATAATGACTTTATGTCTTTTGGATGAATTTCAGACTTCATGGTGATCAAAATAGCACTCCATCAAATGAAGTGAGAAACTGCCATCAGGAGTTACCTTGTGGATATTTCCCAAGCAAGTTCAGCTGCTCTAGTAACTTAAACTGTAGTGCTGGAAGACATGATTTAAATCCTTCCCTTCGAAATTTTAGAGAACCAGAAGGAAATGCTGTTGATTTGGTGGAACCTCTTTTGGGTCCAAAATTAGTTGAAAATTGCACACATATAGACAAGGACAATGCTTTTGGTGCAAACAGAACTATTGTGCAAAATATGAAGAAAGTTGACTGTAACTCCTCCCAATGGAGAGATGTCCCTAGGAATGTGGTTAATGACGCCACTTCTAGAAAATGTTTCCAGGAAGGAAATGCACTGAAAGAGCATGAAATGTCTAATATGTCCTCTGGATGTTCTGCTCCTGCTGTAACTCAGGTGTCTATTGACGTCAACAACAAAGACTCATCCACTGTTGATGGTATGGATACAGACAATCTTGTTATGGATGAAGGTTCAGGAATCGAAAGATGTTTGTCCTCTGATGATGACAGTGAACGAAGTTCTGAATTTTGTGGCTTAGCTTCCAAAGTCAACTTGGTCAACAGAAGATCTTCTAAAACAAGTTTTAGTAAATCATCTCATAGTCGCATTCATGAACTTGGGTTCACAGATTCGTTAAAAGTAAGAAAATTGCAAAATCACGCTAAGACTGGCTTTGCTGTTCAGGCAAAAGGTGATCTTCAAAAGTATGACAGGGACTTTGGGAAGGGGAAGAGAAGAAGAGTGAAATGGAGAAGGTTATATCCCTCTGTTCCTGCTCCTTCCCTGTCCACTGCCCTGAATGGAGCTTCAAAATCTGCTGGTGATGCTGGACTTTGCTCGGGCACACTCAAGAACATTCAGATGCTTCCTCAAGATGATAAGCCATGTTTCACTTGTTGTCCATGTTCTTTGGGCCAAAATTTGAAGCAGAAAAGATCTGCATACTCTTCTTTTGATACTATTTCTAGGAAAAAAAAATTGCGTTGGATTCATCACATTGAAGTGGAGGAAACTGATTCAGAGACAAATTTAAATGCCAAAACTGACTGTTCTAGAGCCTCTAAAGCAGTGGGGAGGAAAAGGTTGAGATCTGTTGGAGCTACCCTAATGGAGCAAGATGACATGCATGATTCTGCTTGTTTTGCTTCTGAAATAACTGCTAAGATTACTGCATCAGATTGCACGAAAACTAATAAGCCAGTGAATATTAGTCATAGTAGGAGAAGGCCTGTCGTATGTGGGAAGTATGGTATTATTTCTAATGGTAATTCCTCAAAATCAGCCAAAATTGTGTCTCTGAGGAAAGTTCTTAAAGCAGCAAGAAGATGTCACTTTGCTGAAAGTCAGAAGGTAAATTCTATATCAGTCAAGGAATCTGAGAAGGCAAGGTGTGATGCTGATAAAGAGAGAAACAATGAAGCTCGAATGGCAGTTTCTGCTCAGATGAAGTCTCAGCATTTGATGGAAGGAAAAGAGACAGAATACTCTGTAGGCAGTAAAGATTCTTATGACTTATCACATATTATGAAGAAGAGAAGGCATGATGGAAACAGAAGTCATGCTATTCTAGAGAGTAACCAAAGCACACAGATCAGACGAAAGTCTAAAGAAGTTCGTAAACGCAGTGTTTATGAACTAACAATTAAAGGTATATTCGGTCACTAGCTTTCCCGGCAGTGTGTATTAAGGTGTTAACGCGGAACCTTGATTCACTATTTTCCTCTGCATTTTTGTAATGCTACTCTGGTGAATGCATGTTTATGTATCAGGGTCAGCCATGTCTCTTATCTCTTCTTCTTCTTTATTTTTTGGTACTTCTTTTAATTGAGAGCCTTCTTGTTTGAATAAAAAGGTTAATCTTATTCACTAAACTTATCAACTCATTAAACTATTTCCCACCAGTGATGATTTAAAAATTATGTTACATGAAATAAATGGAATCAAGTTACATGACTGGGATCCAAAACATATTTATCTTTATTTCTTGTACTCTGTTTTCTAAAGCAATAATTAAATGACTTGGCAATTTGATGGCTAAGATGCTGAGAAGACATTAACAAATATGTCTAAGCTCTGAAGTATTGGTTTTTCTCTTCAGTCAAGGGTTTTATATCTGATTTGTTTTTGGCAGAGAGTTAAACTGTACGACAGTTTAGAGCATGGAATTATTGTGTTTAAACTTCATTTTTTTTTGTTTAATGTAATGGTTGGGATATTGGTTGCTGGACAAAGGAGAGCGACTGGCAATGGTTGTTCTGTTGACTATCAACTGCCTTTAATATATGGTTTTGTGAATCAATGCCAATTTCCTACCCTCCCCCCCCGGGTGCATATTCAAGATTGCAGTTGTAGAAGAGACATAAAGAGACTGGTTCTTTTAGTATAGTTCTTCATATTCAGTACGGACCTGCTTGATCCAACTGACTTTTGTGCATTTTTTTGGCCTTGGTGCAATTTTCGATGCGCTGGCAAATCTAACAAAGATCATGCAGGGATGTATTTTCTTGTTTTTAGAAATGTGAATGTATTATCTCAATATAATTACTACTCTGGTTAGTCTTGATGGCACTGTTACTGGGTGTGTTTTTAACTCCAGCAAATTCTAGAAAAAGTGAATAAACAAAAAGCAGTGAATAGTCCTTTGTTAATGCTCCAAATTTTCCTTCTTTCATGTTTGCTTTTTCTTTGAACAGAAAATGATTTCAGCTGTGTGAAGTCTTGTATTACAAAGGATGGAAGATCTTTACAGAGAAGAAAGAGCAGATTTGTGTCTAAGCTTGCTGAGAATGCTGGTAATGATAGAATGTTTGTGGGTGGAATACATAATGTTAACAAGTAAGAGTGCTACATGTTGCCTGTGAGATCCATTTTTTGCTCTGCAATTTTTTAGCAGACAGCTGTAGAAGATTGATAACAAGGATAATCACAATGGGCTTTTACAGATATGCCAAAGTGGAAGAATGCCAAACTAGCCGGGTTTTGGATGTTTTCTGCTGTGTTTGTGGAAGTTCGAACAAGGACAAGAATAATTGCTTATTAGAGTGCGGTTGTTGCTTGATTAAGGTGTTGTATCCAAGTTTTCTTCTTTATAAACATTTTAACGATTTTACTCGCTTGATTTTTTTGGTTGCCTTTTCCCATTATAAGTGCTGCCAGTGGCTTCTATATTTAGGTACATCAAGCTTGCTATGGTGTTTCTAAGGTGCCCAAAGCTCAGTGGTGTTGTAGGCCATGCAAAACGAATTGTAAAAATATTGTAAGGGAGTTCTATTATGCAAACTTGTGTTACTTGTACTCTTTCTCATGTGAGGGCCAATTTTCCTGCATTAGAGAGGTTTTGACTGTTAGCTTGTGAGATCTCGCTCTATATATTTATCTGGGAAACTGTGTTGTTCTGAATATTGTCTCATGATGTTGTCCCCACTAAATTGGTTTTTTGGCTGTTGTAAAATTCTCTTTTTCTGACCAAAAGTGAAAAATTTCATGTGTGCTGTACTATGTTTTTCTGTGTTTTTTACACAAGATAATGATGCCATATGAGGGTAACTATCAGTTAAATGTTGTATGTAAAGGGAAAGAAAAAAGTCAATACAATCATAGCAACGAAATGAATTGTGGGCTGGTCCATAGTGCCCTTGAAATTAATAAAATTGAACTTATGATCGATGTAATGATGTGTAAGCATGAGATGTACTGGGATTTAAATCTTTCAGATGGTGAACAAAAAGTGTCAAATCTGAGAGGTTAGTCAAACTGTTATTGTTGTTGTTTTTCCTTAGAATTATATGTAGTTTGTTTTTTAAGTATTCTCTTCAGTTCGTGCTGTGCTTTAAAATTTTATTCCAGACAATTGATCTCTAATTGTTTACAGACTCATCATCCTATGTTCTTCACTTGCATGTTGTTCTTCGGTTCAAAATATCATCCAGAGTTTAGCTCAATTTACAAATCCAGATATACTGAGGGTCAATATTGTCAGAAACAAAAAGAGTTATGGTGAAGAAAAACTGAATGGTAAAAATGAAATTAGTCCTTGTATTTTTCTAGTGATGAACATTTCCCAAATCACTTATTTTGTGGATCTTATGAAAGAGCAAGACTGTTTCATTCAGTCAATTCCAGTTGTGCACTGTCCTTTACATAGCATACACTTGAACCATAACTGGTTTAGATCCAAGTACATACTTGATTATTCATATTCAGAAAGGTTGCTTGCCAGAATGCAAGTCAGCTAGCACGCAATCCTATTTGCCTGTTAATGAAGTTAGAGAAGGAGAGAGGGATAAAATAGTTAGAGAGAGAGAGAGAGAGAGAGAGAGAGAGGTGAGCACAGAGAACAGAAAGGTATAACCACTGGCATGTATTTGGCACAGCCCGCTCTCATCTGCATCTAATGCATATCAAGTTCATCGAGGAATGAATGCCTTTCACTTAATGTTTGTTGTCTCTCCCATCCAGTTGGATGCGCATCCTACATAGAAATGAAAACCATTTTACCATAAGGTCAATGCTTTGGTAATGCCTTATATAATTTTGTCTTACGTGAAATTTAACTTCGACAAAGGAATGCATTTGTTGTTGTTTAAATGTTAAGATTGGCTGCTATATGCATTGGATATTAGGTCTGTGTTCTATGTGGATATGGAGGAGGAGCCATGACTCGAGCACTTTGTAGTCGTAATATTGTGAAGAGCCTCTTGAAAGCTTGGAGCATTGGGACAGAATCCAATCTCGAAAACACTAGTTTTTCTAAATCTTTGGAAAGTCCCTTTCATCGTTTGTCTTCGACAAAATCTGTTCATGAGAGTGATCCATTTCTCATCATTAGACCTGCAGAAATTGGCTCTACTTCTCTGGCTAAAGGAAGCACCGATCTGTCTGAGCATGTGGATACTGTCGACATCTCTTCTGCTATTACCCCAGCTATATGCAATAGCATTACAGCTGGAATTCTTGACTCTACCGTCAAGCAGTGGGTTCATATGGTTTGTGGGCTCTGGACACCAGGTACACGTTGTCCAAATGTTGATACGATGAGTGCTTTTGATGTGTCTGGAGCTTATCGGCCTAAGCAAGATGTGGTAAGAACTTTAAGAAGCTTACAAACCATTTGTTTGTGTTAACTTACTGTACTCAACAAAAGTTGAAAGCAAAAGTCCAAAAAGGTTATAGTTGTCATTGGAGTAGTGTTTAGTTTTGAAGTATTTGTCAAAAAATCTTACATCTTTTATGATAAGGACGTTATTCTCAAGGTTATAGTTTTCCATTGGCTTTTTTTATCTGAAATCATGAGGATTAGCTTAATTTTTTTTCCTTTCCTTTTTAGGTTTGTTCAATATGTCAACGATCAGGTGGTTCTTGCATACAATGCAGGGTTGCGAATTGTCATGTTCAATTTCATCCGTGGTGTGCCCATCAGAAGGTTTTTATTGTTTCTACATGTAATGTTATAGTATTCAATTTTCACCGTGAAAGATGCTGTGCTAGACAAGCTCCTGAAACTTACTCCTAATACGCTTGGTAAAATGTAGCCTAGCACGATGGAAGAATCTTCTTCCATATATAAAAAAGGAAAGGCTCTAGCTTCATGGCAGGATATTTCTCATACTTCTGTAACTTGATTTTGATCTTATAAAGCTGTACATCTTGACTGAAGTCACAATCAGACTTAATCAAATCCGATAAAGCAAGTCCCCTTCCTTAGTTCTGTTGATATAGCACCAAAGCTGTTTATGATGCTGATGGATTTGATTACCAAATCTACAAGGTTTAACTGAAGCAAATAGCAATTTGAAAGACTTGAGGACTGAAAAGGCATGAAACCACAATAAATTGGAAGAAAGAAAATATAGACCAAAAAAAAAAAACAACTTCATTTGCTCATATTTTGGCATCCCACATAAGGCTAAAGTGCATTATTTCAAGAAAATGTAAAATCTCAAGAATTTTCTGCCAGTTGAAAGTTTATTGCTTAAAGAAGTGTATCAGGTGTTTACCCTATCAGCTTCTGATGCGGGATGAATTCCATCAAATAAGTAGGATGAGGAGTTTAGGAAGGCACTGATCCTTAAGGATTAGGATGAGATTTGCATTAGATTAGAAACCTAGCTTATAATTCATTTTTGTAGATTTTCAAGTTTAACTTGTGTTTTAACTCATTTTCTTTGGACGCTGGTAATCTGCCTTCAGCAGCACTATCATTCCTTATAGATGGCAAATATTAAGGATACGTGTAACTTCATCCGTCTCTTTCTTTGGAGATCAATAGACTTACATGTAACTGTTCCATGTAACCTTGAACATTCTAATCAACTGCTGTTTGATGATGGTGCTGAGCAGCTCTGAATTAAATGCTTGCTAAACTTGAAGTAAGACTCCACTGCAGAATGTGACTTGAGTCTTTTTGCTAACTCTCTTGAATGTGTCTCATATATGCATTCTGTCATAGGCTTGTGATTTTTAAACTGCAACTCTTTAAAAATAAAAAAACTACAAGTGGTCAAAGTTTTAGTATATTAGCAATTCTGTGATGATTGTTTTTCTACAGTGACTTGCTATTTGTTTTTTGTTATTTCTGGTGTCAGGGTCTACTGCAAAGTGAGGTTGAAGGTATTGATAATCAGAGTGTTGGATTTTATGGAAGATGCATGTTTCATGCTATGTATCAGCAGTTTAATTCTGATAGTTATCACACTAGCAGTGCTAATCATGGAGAAAGGGAATCCACCTGTGCTCGAACAGAGGTGGGTCGACTGAACAATTTAGCACTATCACATTGTTAGAACCAATGTTTTCCTCTATAAATGATGTGTTACATTGGCTAGGGTTTCAAGGGTCGCAAATGGGACGGATTTCATCATAATCATCCCTACCATTCTGATGGTAGTAGTGGATGTCTTGTCCCACAAGAGCAGCTAAATGCTTGGATCCACATCAATGGACAGAAAACATGCATAAGTGGGCCTTTAAAGCTTCCCAACTCAGTAATTGAGTATGACTGTCGGGTATATACATTTGTTGTTGTATTACTCTATTTTATTGGTTGTGCCTGTCGGAATTTTAATTACTGCTGCTATGGATGTTTGTATTGCTCATCTTGTTATAATATATTGGTGCTAATTTGGTGTAGTTCTAGAACTAAGATACAGTTGATCAGTACATTAAAAATTATGAGTTGGACTTGCCTCTTTATATGGGCTTTAGGAATGTAAAGCTGTAGAATTACTTATGAATTGGAATTCTGGTATTAACTTGCAGAAAGAATATGCTCGCTACAAACAATCTAGAGGCTGGAAGCATCTAGTGGTGTACAAATCAGGGATACATGGGCTTGGTCTTTACACTTCCCGATTTATTTTTCGTGGTGCCATGGTTTGATCCTCAACCTTTTTATACTTACACAAAGTGACATGGAGTGAGAAATCTTACCTGTGTTTTTGTAGGTTGTTGAGTATGTGGGTGAGATAGTTGGGCTCCACGTGGCTGACAAAAGAGAAACCGAGTATCAAGCTGGAAAGAATGTTCAATACAAGAGCGCTTGCTATTTCTTCAGGATAGACAAGGAGCATATAATTGATGCCACCCGCAAGGGTGGGATAGCTCGATTTGTGAATCATTCTTGCCTGGCAAGTATCTCAAGTTTTAATAGCTATTTCAAGTTTTTAGTTGTCCTGCTTCTAGTGAATCATATCCACTTGGCTTACTTTTATCATGATCTTTTCTCTGCTTGACAGCCAAATTGCGTTGCGAAAGTAATTTCTGTCAGGAATGAAAAGAAGGTAACCATGCATTATTTGTCTCACTCATTAATTTCTTTCATTGCAAGTTAGTTTTCAGAAATTGAACAATGCTAGCTAAACTAAAGAATAACGCACGGTAGGATTTTTTTCACCTTCTTCTTTCCTCATTTCTGGTTTCTCAAATTACACTTTGCCAAATTAGTTTTTGGACCAATTGTAGGATTTATGGTACTTTAGTTAATGGATTTTAGTTGATCAAGTGTTGTTCATGTAGCTTGCTTGTTTCTGGAAGGGACATGGATGCTTTGACAGATTCTGGGTTAAGCAGCTAGGGGAGATAGTGATTTAAAATAGAATATTTGCTCTAAGTAATGACCATATATAAGTCTGTAGCCCCTATTTTTTATTCTGAGCTGAATGTATTTACAAAATCTGTATAGGTGGTCTTCTTTGCTGAAAGAGATATATATCCTGGTGAAGAGGTGACGTATGACTACCATTTTAACTATGAAGACGAAGGTAAAAAGATTCCATGTTATTGTAATTCCAAGAATTGCAGGCGATATCTAAACTGAAATCCTGGTGCATGTCATTTTTTCGTTTTCAACAAGATTTACAATTGCGACATGGATTATGGTTGTATATAAGCATTGTTGAGTAATTTGTATAATGCTATCCATGGAGTTGATGTTTGGGATATGAGATCTGGGAAAATGGAAACCTATGTCTTTAAAGCTCTGCCTTGATACAGAGAGGTGTTATCCAGCAAATCTAAGAAGGGAATTTTGATTTTCTCGGTCATCCCTTTGTTGGTTACAAATGAGTGATAAAGAGACATTATTTTCGCTTGTAATCACTTCAATTTGTGTGATATTGTCCAGAACAGTGGTGTGAAATGATGTGTGATATTTGGAGCCCTTCGTTTTTGAATTTTCCCCAGAAAACTTGCATGATCATGCAGTAATTGCAATACAAGATGACTCTCAATTGCCTTAAAAGGCACTATATATATTTGGAAGCAACAAGAAAATTGAAGTGCTGCTTACCCAATCTTTTCCAACTAGATCTTCTCTGGGAAAGAAGTGGTTAATGATAGATGAAGGGTGCTGTTTCTGGGTCATCAAATATTCTGTTTTATGTTTGATCTTTATCCTGGGCTATATGGTTGAAATATCAGATTGTTCAGCAGCTCATAGGCGGTCATCGTCATCATCCTGCTGCTGCTCCGTGGAAATCGGGGCATTTTTGCTCAGTTGCTTCCTCCTGAGGAAAGATCTCGGCCTTGAGAAGGCAAATCTCAAGGAGCAACAACTCGAGAGGTTTGGTAGCATTTCCATTGGGGAATCCTTCTAATATGAGCAAATGTTTAATTTCTGCCAGAAGAATCTGGGCAGCCTCATGGTCTCTTGTTATTTTTCCTCAGTATCAGTATTAATGTTGATGAGAAAGATTACAATTGAAAAGTCAGTTTTTTGATAAGATTGTTTCTGAGATCACCGTTGTGGAGATATCAGAGAGAGTAATACACAAGATGACTGTCACGGGAACTTGAGATTCTAGTCAAGAACCTCTGAATAATAGAATCCTCGATCTCATGTTTCAAATTCAGAACGCCAGCCCCGCAGAGAATTGTTTATAGGCCAATACTGGGTCCATGCTGTTGGCAAAGACAGCCAAGACTGATCTGAAACGTGGAAAGATTCGAAACTATCTCAGCTTCTTTTGTTGGTACTAAATTGCCAGCACCTAAAGAATAGGCTCTCTTTTTTTGGGTTGTTGTGGGGGTTGGGGGGGCACATATCTGTGATCTGGCCCTGATCTTTACGTCTTTTGAAGATGCCCTTAAATGTCAATTCGGATAAGGTTTATATTAGTTGCTTGTGTATAGTTCATCCCAATGAATTCTTGCAGTCATTGCTAACTTGAACGAGTCTCCTCCAAGTAAATTGAGTTAGAACATGACCGACCCCCTTCTGCCCGCCAGGCTTGAAAACATTTTCCTGATTATATCGGCTCCAAGAGATATATTTGCAGTAATCTTGTTGGTCATTTGTTTAGCTGTAATAATGTGGATTCTTTCTTTAGCCAATCGACTAACATCTTCCATATATTGCCACTAGTTGGTCAAGAATCAGCCACAACCAAAAACTAATAGAGCTCCATTACGTGCAAGATTGATCACCCTAACCTTGCAGACCCCTTTTCCCGAAGTTGAAATTAGAGCCACAGGAAATGAAAATTTACAATTTGGCAGGCTGATGATGTTTTTGGGTTGACTTGTACAATATGTCGAATAAAAATCAGGGGACCGCCTCCATAGGATCTGCATATCTTACAAAAGAGACGGTTTCATTTCCATATGTATTATACGGTGAGTAGCTGGTGATGCATGATATACAGCCGGAGTAACCAAAAGGTTGGCGACATAGTCTTACAACAATACTGTAGGCTCTCAGAAGACAAAAGAAAATACAAAAACTTGCCGCAGCTTTCTTTGTGGAGTATAAACGTCTGTACCTTTAACGTTAATTTTATACAGCTCTGTCTGCATTGGCCCAGACCTTTGATCATTTTGACAGCTTAGGAACCCCAGTTTGGAATGTTAGCTGTGGCTTCATTCACCATTTTCACCAGAGTAACCTGCCAAATCATGAGCAATTGTAGATGACAACATAATCATTCAACTCATGAAGGTAAAGGCTGTTTACTTGTAATCCAAGACCCACTTTAGAGGCTCAGTCTTGGATATTGGAAAAAGTTGCAGCACGATCAATAAATATTACTGGTCTAGATAACTATAACAGTCAACAACATGATGCTCCAACCCAATTGTTTAGGTATCCAAGGATTTGAATTGCCATAATGGTCTGACATTGTCTGCCTAGTAAAATGTCACTTCTCAAGATCTAGTAACTTTGTCTGCTTTAAGAAAAGGATCCTTGGCAGATGTTTATCTATGACAAACCCCACCAAAAAGAATAAATGACAAGGAACAAATTGTTAAGAAGTTTAATGGTTTCTGAGTGTGGTTTTGCAGTTTGCAGTCTGAAGTTTTCAAGGTGTTGCAGAACTATAGAAATTGCTATGAATGGTCTACTGGATTTTAAATGATCTAAGAGGGAAAGCTTCCTAGGAAGCATGTCCCAAGTATTTGACATATCATGAAGGTATTATTCACTACTATACCTACTGTAGTTAAGTATTTAGTTGGTTTTCGTCAGTGTTATTTACCTAAAAGGACAACCTTTTTTGCTTTCAGTATTGTGCTTGGTGCAGTCGCCTTTCCCCTCTAAGCATGTTCTTTCATGCTCAGTTTAAATAAGAGTTATTAGAACGAAAAGGTAGGTCAGACTTTTCACGCAAAAGTACTGTGACCACACGACAAGTTTGAGCATTCACAGAGATGAAAAACATACCACACTATCTGGCACACCAGGTGGAGGGAGTGGAAGGTTTCTTGGAGGCCATTTGTTATCATAAGATCTTTTGTCAAATCTCCACTCTCCTATCTTACCATATGTCATCTTACCCTGCAATTCAAAATAAGCAATGCCAATATAAGAACCTGAAGACGCCAAAATATGAAGAAGAACAAAATAGTTCTGCTTCAGTCGACTGAGAAAATGACTTTTATAGACTATTGATCACCACAAATGTACAGAAATCTTTTAATTTCAAGTTACCTTTAGATCATAGTCACATCCATATGTATAATGGATGATGTATGCCTTGCCTATTTCTGTGTCCCATGGAGGCTGTCACGAGTTACAACCAAAGAAATGATTCAATACATGACTTATTGCAAAGCTTCTAATTCATGGTGTGTCTGGTATACACATCAGGCGTTAGATGCTGCTCTTTGATGATCAATATAGGCAAGTCCAAATCCATTTGAAACACTAAAAGTGATAATCAGGAATCACCTTAACAGGTTTCTCCTGGATACAGCAATTGATATGCACAAAAGCATAGTCATTAGAAAAGAAAAAATAGAAAAACTCTTCTTAAAACCCTTTCCAAGGTGAATTTTTTGTTTTTTTAAGTGTCATAAAGCAATTCCAGCATCTTAGGTTGTTTCAATTGTGGCAATGCGTGCTTGTGTTCGAAATTTGGTATGGTTCAGCAGACAAAGCCTGAAAAGAGAAAGGGAAATACAAAAATGATTTGCCTAAAAGTTGACCCAAAGTTTTCAAAAGCGAATAAGTAGAGTAGGATACTCAAAAAAGGAATTCTTCATATATGAAAAGATGTTATCAGACACAAGAAGTTAAGGTAAAAGCAGAGGTCCTGGAATAGGAAAACAAAGCATCAAATTGCAGATAATAATTCTGAACTTACAGAATTCAGGGTCTTAAATGCTAGAATTCGAACCCATTCTCTACATCTAATATTATGTAGGGAATTGGATGCAAATTTCCCTGATCAAGAAAATGCTGCGACAAGTACTTTTCTCCTAAGTTCCCAGAACAAGTAATTGACTGTGAATGATGAGGATCTATTGACGTAACCAGCAAAAGAGAAGATAAGAACGTCCTTCAGAAGCTCGTAGCCACATCATCATTTGCTAAAAAGGAGTATGCTTTACGTACTCAACCTCTCAAAACATAAGAAATACATGGGGTGACAACTAAAAAATGCCAACCTGAATCATAAATTCCTTGTACAAAATGTTATGGACGTCATGTAATGCAGAGGAAACAGCATAGGCATACCTGCATACACATAAAAAAGCTAAAGCAAAAGAAAAGTTTGAAATGGAATCAGTACAGTCTACGTGGCTTACATCTCAAGAACCCAACCAAAAGCTTTATCTGTTTCAGGATCCTTCTTCATTGTTAGGGAAACGTTCATCCAAGTTGGAGCTATCTTTTGTAGAGCTTCCTAGAATTATTTGTTCAACATTAGAAGCATACACATTAGATTACAGGGGGAAATTTTTTGAATGAGTAAGAGAAAAGGTACCCACCTTCCCAACTATGACGGGGGAATTTCCAATTGGATCAATGTTAGTAATTGGTCCTTTTTCATCAGGAAAGAATTTTCGAAGTAGAGACTCGTATTTCTTAGGTTCAATATAGAAAAAAGGGAATGCCGCTCCCAGGCCATCTCTGGATAAGTTTGGAATTGGTTTGACAATGATATGATCTGGCTCTGCCATCAATATATAGCTGCATAAGAAGGTAAATTCGCACATAAAAAAAATGGAACTTCTTGAATTGCAGAAAAAAATGTACAGCAATCTAAATTCATTAATATGAAAGGAAAGCATATCTAATCCCATACTCTTCCTTAATGTCAGCTTGCTGAAGCCACTGCACAAATGCCCAAGGTCTGTTGAGGACTATATACCCCTGTAATTGCACAATGAAATGACACGTTAGGGGGAAGAACCTCCTAAAACCTCCATAGCTCCAGCTAAAAGTCTGAACTACGCATTTAAATCATAAATTGGCTAGGAAATCTGGAAAAACTTCAACAAAATTTTTTTTTTTTATTTTTAAAGATTAGATGACCGCATGCATAATTAAGACATTGATACAAGTAAAGCCAAAAGAAGGGAAAAATCACCTTGAGCTCTTGGGGATCTAATTAGTCACAGAGATATGGGTTGTGGATATGAGAAATCAACGGAACAATGTAACAGCTACAAGAGGACTTATTTTTCCTAAGGTGCCACGACAGGTCAGCTGTTGGAAGGGCTTAGAATTGAAGCCAAGAAATGCTTGTGAATTGAGTTAAATAGGAGGTAGAGATTGCTTGGAATGTCAACTGAAAAGATCACCTGGATCTTAATATTAAGAGATAATATCTTGCTATTAACTTTCTGATATAAGCCTGAGCTAAAATCAAGAATTTTCCACAGGATCCATTCCCTTATCCAATATTTATTTTCTGACACTAGGAAAGACCAGAACTTTCTACAAATCAATTCTCTCCTTGTAGGATATCCCTGGTTTTAAAACAATTCTAATCAGAACTCCAAACACAAATTTACTTCCGCGACACTCCAGCTGCCAATTAGAGTCATAAACACAAACCTTAAACTCTAATAAGACGAAGCCAAAGGAAAACAGCCCACCCAAAAAAAAAATAAAAATTCAGCAAGATACGTATAAGAAGTAAGAATTACTACTAGAAACCACCAAAAGACGAGTCAAAAAGAATTGCAAAAAGAAAATGCAGAAAGAAGAACCTGATCCATTCCGGAAGGGAGTGGCTGAGCAACAAAAGTAGGAATCTCATCCATGAAGGGGTCGGATTTGCCGGAGTGCAAGATCCTGGTAAAGCCGCCCATCTCAGAGCCGGGTTGATCCCTGAATTTCTTGAACCAGTAGTACATAATCCTGCACTGCCAGGTGTTGTAGACGGAGTCAGAAGATGTAACAGCGGTGTGGAAGAGCCTCTTCTTCTTGTTGTTGTTGTTGTTGTTAGCTGATAAATATTTGTCGTGAGGCATCTGGATGATAGGGTCCACCGAGATGATTTTGGTGCTGCTGATGAGCCCATTTTTTCTTGATACAGAAGAAGAAGAAGAAGAAGATTGACTATGAGAAGGGTCAGGGAATTGCTGGTTGAGAGATGCATTGGCCGAAATGAGGATGTTGTAGGTGATGAGTGCAGCTGATAAAGTGACGACTAGTGTGAAGAACAAATTCCCACACCCCATTTCTGCTAATACCTGCTCTGCTCTAGTTATTGTGGGCTTTTTCTTCTTCTTCTTCTTGTTTTCGGGGATTAATAAATACCGTACTGCTCACTGGTACGTGGAACTCTGGGAGGAAGATGTCAAATGGTGGGTGGAGACTAACTGGAACTGGCTGCTCCACTCCTCCTCCTCAATGCAGAGTTAGTTAGGAGTAATATAATAGAAAAATGAATGTCCGGGGGACAAGACTGGACTGGCCTGGCATCAGCCTGGAAAATAAAAAATGTTTCATATTTGACTTTCTTTTTCAGTGTTTCTTTTTTTTTTTTTTTTTTTTGGTAGGTCTCCTGCTTAACCGGTACCAGCTAGTAGCAGTGCCACTAGTAGTAGTGGCGGCGGCCGGACGTCTGGGTGACGGCTGGTGGGTTCCTTCCTACCTAGTACCTACTCAACATTTTTTTTTTCTGTGGGGGACTACTGCCTATATGCAGAGAAAGAGTTAGTAAATTATTGTTGAAGCCTTAGACCCTCACAGTCACAGGGACGGGAGAGTGAGTTTTCCTAAATTAAGCTTTGGTCCGCTCATTTTGCTTTAATCTTGCTTTCATGTCATCTAAAGTTTCTGGCTTTTGCTGATTTGTTTCCTCAGATGACACTTTTATGTGCATTAGTATATGGTATTTTTGGCCACATGACATGATGCACAAGCTCTGGCTTATTTTTTGGTTTGTCTCTCGTAGAGATTTTAAGGGTGTACGATTACTGGAATAAAATCAGGTACCCTTTTTTTTTTTTGGGCTATTTAAGGTTTGTAGTAATTGCATCCTTTTGGACTGTTTAATCCCTTCCCCTCAGTACGATTACTGGACTAAAATCATCATACAGAGCTGCAACAAGCAACTGCTTCAGCAAATCCATTCTAGAAGTGCATCAAATAGCAAGCTGCATACTCTACTCAGGTGATATTCTTAGCTTGAAAGCTCTGTTTCACATGTGCTCCTTTTGTGTTATAACTAAAAATATTAATCATGTTAGTAACAGAACTGACGACTATGCTTTAGCCATTTTACATGATGAGGAATGGATCAATCCTCTGTGCTGTTAAGCACTTTTTGTATAGAAAGGAGGGGCTTTTGCCCCAATTGTAATGTTCAGTTGATGATCAATATATAACTAACATCGTTTTGGAAAAAAAAAAAAGAGTACGCATCAGTAATAAGCAAAAATGCCAACTTATGCATCAATCATCCAAAACATATTCACCATCACCTTTTCTTTACTATGTTCGCAAGCGCATCATGTATGGTACAACTCATGGCTGCATTCTCCAACTAATATCCAAAACCAGAAAGTAATGATTGTCTAATACAGGTTGGGTTGGAGAAGGCCGTAGTAATTGATTATTTTGTAATCCCTTCCCCTCATCTTTTGTCTTCACCACGGGACGTGCAGTCCGTAGTTGGCCAGTTAAATTAACACCCCTCTACCTCCGAAAGGAACAGAAATATGATAATCCAAAACAAAACAACTTATAAAAGAAAGAAAGCATCCATCAAAATTTTGAGAGATTGTCCTCTTCGGACCATTCCATGTTCATCAGCTTGTCCGTGGGAAAAAACCTAAGCCTCAACTACAGCAAGTTTGCCATATGTGACTGGCAGTCCTGAGCCTCAACTGCAGCAAGTCTCTACTACACATGACTTGCCCCTGGTGTAGAAGTACTAGCACTAGTAGTAGTTTCGCCAGACACACACACAGACGTAGTATAAAGCTCTATTTGATGAGAACAACATACTGGACAGAGAGAGAAAGATGTATTAAAGCAGAAAGGATTAAATGGTGTAAATGCGCTGCTTGGCAAGAGACGTTAGGCATGACAAGCACTTCTCACGCCTCAGGCGGTATTCTCTGCGAGCTGGGTTCCAAAAACTTGCTTGATGATTCATTTCCAGCAATATTTGCGTCCTCATTCTCAAGGCTCAGCAGACACCCCGCAGGCGAGCGCGTCTCAACTGGTTACTTGGCTTCTGTCGTTCTCTACTCCAACAGAAATCCATGGACCAAAAGCCACTTAAAGAAGGGATCATCATCTCTCAATCAACTCCTTAATGCGGGGGAACCGATCAACCCATCGCAAGTAACATGCATGAACTATCTGATAAAGATCAGATTCCTCATCGGACATCATGCCCTTGCCACACATAGCCAAACTTCTCTTCATCAGCTGCGAAAGACTAACTAGGTCATCGTTGCTTAAGTCGGGATGACGTATGAGAGTCTCCTCAGATATTGAATCAAGTATAAGTGCACAAATGCTTGAAGCCATCATAAGACTGTCGGGGTCCCCTCTATCCTCCGTCCAATGTGACAATGCACTCAAAAGTTTGATAAAACTAGCTCCACTGAAGGTAAACGCGATTTGTTCCCTCTTCATAAGAAAATTCAAAATCGTATCACATGCCAAGGATACAGAACCAGCATCCTCAACGGTAGAACTGGTTGGGGCAATCAACCTAATAAGGTACTCAATAACAGCTCCATATGCTCCAGATGAAGCCAAAAGTTTACATCCATCAGTCCTCATTGTTATTTGACAAAGCATAGGAATCAAAAAGCAGATTGAGTAAAAGGGGCTCGCCTCATCTTCTCCTTGAATAGAAAGCATATAGCCAAGGAGCGCCTTAACCTTTTCTCCGCATGCATGAGGTGTTTCAGCAAGATAGCTCCCAATCAGCCGTACTGAGGCTAGCAGATCGTCTCCTTTGTTCTCTCCATGATCCTTGACATCTTCTAGGTAGTCCAGAACAACACTGATTGTCTCATTAAGTCCAGAGATGATCATTGTCAAAGTGCTATCACTTATCGTGGCATCTGGATGTAAGTCCTCATCTCCACCAAAATTTGAAACTAGCTTTATCACTTTCTCAACCAAAGAGTAGCAAATGGCAAGATTTCTTTGTTTCATGTGAATGACCTCAGCATTCAGTGAATGACTTTTGGAGGCTTCATCCCTCAAACGAGCCAGCTCATTAAGGAGAACAGCAATTTCAACCCTGGAAGTCCCCAAAACAAGTAGCATACACCTGAAAAAGAATAAAAGGCAGTAAATATGCCAACTTCGTGGCAAAGAAGGATGTTAAGGAAACAAAGTAATCATACAGTAGATCATTGACACAAACTTTTGCTTACCTGTCAACAGGAATAGGATCTTGTACATCAGGTAATTTCACAGACCCAATAAGCCATTCCTCGCCCACAATCGAAATAGTGCACTCAGCCAAGATCAGGGCCTGAAGCTTTTCAGCTGGGGCTGCAGATTTAACAGGAAAAAGATGAGCTTCAATCGCTAACATCATCAACTAGCTAGCATGAACCGTAGTGAATTCTTCCAATTGAACATGTATAAATGTATAAATATTCACAGCAATGGAACATACCAACTCGATTATTCAAGACAGCCACAATACCCACACGCATGTCAGTTGACCAGGTACTATTTGCCATAGAATTCAGAGCTCCACGCACAGGTGCCTGTGACAAGCAAAAGGATGTATTAGACAGATTGTAAGCAATATATGAGAAAAAAGACTCCATCCAAGTGCATCAGATACATTTGAAAAAAATTTCAGGATTCAAGGTAGGAAGTGTTTCGGACAAGCACTCCAACAACATAAATTATCTCAAGAGTTCTGGCTTTCCTACAGTTGATTGACTAAAATTTAGAGACATTCAAGAATAGTCCTCCTTCCAAGTTATAAAATGATTAGCACAGAAAAATAAGATTGCCTCACTGGAAAAGTTATGATCCTGGTAATAACAAGATTCCTGTGCCATCATAGGCAAAGTTATCCATGTAAACCATGTAAATATTGCAGAAGGAATCTTCTCAGGTTTCAACAAGAAGGCAACTGTTAATCTTCCAATTTACATCTAGAAAATGCCATTGACCTATGTAAATGTTTGTAACAATAACTAAGAACTAACTAAAAGTGAACTAGATATCATATTGGTTTCATTAATTTTGATACCTAACTAAATCATTATGTCAGTATGAAACCATAACGTTCTAATTGAATTGAAAGAGTGCAAGGAAATCAGGTGGCATACTGAACATTGAGAGGAGAGGATTGCAGATAAGAGGTGAAGTGCTTCAAACTTTAGAGCAGTTTGTAGCAAAGCAAATAGTCGTGCTAGTCCAACCACCTGCAAGATAATTAGAAGTAATCAACAATCTGCTGCCAACATAGCAATAAAAGATCAAGGCGCTAATGATGAAAGAGAAATTAGGCAAGAGTTAAGTGCAGTAGTGAAGTCAACATCTTATAAACATGCATATGCCTACCAATATTGCCAGCTCTGATGGATGTTCAATGAAAACTCTCTCAGCAGGTAACCTGCTTATTATGAGCTGAACAAGTCTCATGGCAAGTTCCACAATGGGTGACCCTGCAGGAAATCAGTCAAGCTTCAGCCATCCAAGTTGGTGGCACAAACAGCTGAAATTTACAAGATTATGATCTTCTAACTATATGGTTGACCAACTACAACATATGATTGTTAAAGTTGCAGTAACATCTAATAAGCACACTCTATGAAATGAGAATGGTACTACGCGTGATCTGGATAGCCTATCATTCAATGTGATCAATAGTTCAACAGAAGATAGATCACTTACCATCTGGCAGAGTGGATAGTTGAGAAGCAAGCAGCTGCATGCTTCCAGAATCATATAAGGCCCTTACACCGTCTTCATGTGTGTTTGCCACCAGATATACAAACTCATAGCAATCCTCAATTACAGATGAGGCTGAACTGCAAATGGAAATACACATTCTTTAGATTACAATTTATCATATTACACAGATGAAGATCTCCTTGCAGTCCTACAGAGAATTAAAAACAGAAAATGCCAGAAAGCATTCAGAGCAACACAAATGCAATTCAGGAAAAAAGGTCAAAGAACAAAATCAACTGCTAGCATGTGCTTTCTTCATTAATTGCAATTCTAAAGATATTGAACTTACATGTCATCAAGCATCAAAGGATTCATCATAAAAGACAGCATGTAATTGCCATCGGAATGACTGGAAAAAGCTTGGTACTATCCTGCTTAGTTTGAAGAGCGGTTATATACAAGGAGAACTCTGGAGAGGTATTTAAAGAAACCTTTATGGTAAGCAGTTCTCAAAGGCTAAAAAACATTGCCAAGCTCTACTATAGCAGTCACAATCATTAATCTAAAAAATTAGACTTGAATATCTTCACATAAGAGAAAAGACATCCATGACATAGAAGGTACATTATATCATGTGCAGGTAAAAGGACAATCTTCTCATTACCAAATAAGCATGCGCCAGAAGTAACAAAACTTTCAATGGATGGAATCAGCCAAAGAAAGAGAGTTTGACAGCATACCCGGTAGAAATAATCTCCTGAAAGAGAGGAATAAGGGAAAGCATGTCTTGAGAAGCAGCAATTTCAGGAACTCTGCAGAAGGCGGCAAGAACTGTTACAGATAGCTGCAAGTAGGCGTCTCGATTCTCAGCACCACCACCTCCTCCTCCTCCTACTTTACCCATACCTGATTATTCATATAATTAGAACTGTACGAGTAATACAATTGAACACTAAACAAATGGAAAAGACAGAGAGAGAGGGGTTGGGATCAATTGAAAAGTAGCAATAGTAAATAGGCATACCAGTGCGTAAGAGACGGAGAAGGAATTTAGGGCCGACGGCGCGGTAGACTTGGAGGATGGTGGAGTGGTCTTGTTTGTTGCAGAATTTGGTGACAAGGAGCAGACCAGCTAGTCTCTGCTCGTCTCTCTCTCCTCTCAGAAGCTTTAAGCAGTCATCCAGTAACGGCGAATGCGAGTTCCCCGACGGTTGAGCTGCCGATTGAGCTGGGGTTCCACCACCGGAGGTTTCGACTTCCTGGCAGCAAAAGAGGTATATTTAGCAGTATAAGAGAAATTAATGAAACACAAAATAGAACATTTAGAAATAAAAATTAAAGCAAAAAAAAAGGAAGAAGAAAATGAATGTTAGAAAGGCATATCGGACAAGAAGAAAGAAGAGAGATGAAATTCACCATTTTTGTTTGGGGGGGGACGGAGGATGGGTTGCGGCGGGAGGAACTTCCAGAAAGTTGGAGAAATAGCCACCACCTGCAGTACCACACAGAGGGAGCGGCGAGCATAGGAGTTTGCTACCAGAGGCAAGTAGTCTTAATCCTTTGGCCCTTTTATACTTTTGCAGCTGTCCTGTCCTGAATGAATATATAGAGAAAAAATACTTACATATGGTATATTTCTCTTTTTTTTTTCCTTTTCTTGGGAGAAATTTACCACCAAAAAAAAAAGAAAAAATCATTCAAAACACACCTCATATTTTGCAAAATAACTATTTTCGTCTCTCATTTTTAAAAGTATAATTTTATGTCTCTTATAAATTCACATTGATCAAATTCGATTCCTACCTAAATTTCCAACCAACTTTTGATGAGAATTCAGCACTTGTCCTACACTTGATCATGTTTTAAGGATAAATTTGTCAAATCAAATTTCACATAATCCAATTCATAGTCTCTCATATTTCACAAAATTAATTTTCTTTTGTCACTCATATTTTCATAAAATAAATTTTTTCATCCCTCGTTGATCATATGTACGAATAGCTTTTTTTTTTTTAACTCATGTATATATCTATTTGATTTCACCTAAACAGTACGAGTAACATGCATTATATCTCCATTTAATTTCACCTACAACGGTGAAATCAAATAAAAATATATTATATACTCTTCTAGTGAAATTAAATGTACATATATATGAATTTTTAAAAACAAAAAAAAACTATTCATATATATGATCAATGAGGGTTGACAATTTTCATTTTATAAAATGTGAAAGACAAAAAAATTCGTGTTGTGAAATGTGAGGAATTATGAATCAGATTATGTGAAATGTGATTTGACAATTTTTGCTCTAAAAAATGACAACGGAAAACACACTTTGACCTAGATTAGTCCGACGAGCCGACTCAACGTTTAGAAACACAACTAATATAGATTAGATTTATGAGTGGTATGATTATTTTAGAGAAAGTAAATAAATATAAGGGAGAGTAAATAAGGATGCGTTTGATAAAATTAAAGTCTGAAAACTGAAACCTGAAGTATGAATTCATTAAGTTATTAAATTGTTAAATTATAAATCTGATACATTTTGAGTATATATCACATTAAGTGATAAGTGAATAATTTATCACTTATTTTTGAAAGAAAATTTTGCTTACAAAATTCAATGTCACTTAATTAATCCAAATATTCAATTTTTTTGTTATCAAACGCGTCTAAACTTATTAAAATCTGAATCCATTAAATCTAAATGCTGAATTGAGTTATCAAACAAGGCTTAAGATTAAATAGAAAAAATTTATAAATATAGGTGAGAGTAATAATTATTAATATGCATATATATATATATATATATATATATATATTTAGGTGATTAGAAAAACTATTACTTTTATTGTAAATCAGTCCCAAAATTAAAAGAAAATTTTTTTAAGAAATCCTAAATGATTTCATTACCTCCTTTTCTTTGTTAATCTTTTCCTTTACCTCCAAAAACACAGATCAAATGTGAGGCTAGACGTACAAACACAAAACAAAAACCTCTTAAGGGTCCGTTTGTTTTGAGTGAAAATATTTTCCTAATTTTCCGTGTTTGGTTGCACAAAAGTTACTGAAAACATTTTCCTATGTAAAATATTTTCACTCATCTTATGGAAAACAACTTCCCTTCCAAACTTATTGAAGTTGTTTTCCGAAATGCATGCATGGATGCCTGTAGTATGTTCCAAACTTACTGAAAACATCTTGTAGTATGTTCTTTTTTTTTTTAGTGTAAACCCAAGACCTCTTCCTTACACTCCCTCCCCCGTACCACCCAACCCAATCCAATCCTCCTCCTAGTATATTCAAAAAAAAAAAAATTCTAGCTAGTAATTAATTATGTATAATAGGGACATTCTTTTCTAGAGAAACTTTCAGCAGTGAGAGTGCAAGATATATGTCACAATAAGCATTGCATGTGATTGATATTTGACACTAAATGGCCAGCAACTTGTTTATTGTTTAAGGAGATATTTTTTATTCATATATACATTTCTCCAAGATTTTTTAATGTTAAACAATGAGATAAATTTTCTTATTTTGCATGGGAAAAAGTATGTAGTTATAATGTGTAGAAAGTAAAAATAGAGATAAAAGTGAAAATATTTCAAAAGTTAAACAAACACCAGAAAAATGAAGTAAGAAAATATTTTCAATAAGTTAACCAAACACCTGAAAATGATGAAAGGAAAATGATTTTCATGGAAAATTACTTCCACGGAAAATATTTTCCCAAGGAAAACATTTTACTTCCAATCAAACAGACCCTAAATTCCTTTGCTTTTCTTTCCCTTCCCTCTTAATCCTTCAAATAAAAGTTGTTTAAAAAAAAAAAAAAAACAATGACAACAACAACACTTCCTTATGCGAGACTCGCCTACGCCAATACAAATAAAAAACGCACAGAGAATTACAACAAGCCATTTGAATACTATTATATGAATGAACGAATCAAATTTGAAACTTGAATCATGGATGAGAAATGACGAGAACAAAAAGTTTTACGTTCTCATTCCCCGTTAAAAAAGATTAATATAATGGCCTGCAAAATAATAAGTATTGGAATGATTAAACTTAGTGCCCATTCCTAACCAACACTGGCATAAATAGAACGGATAATTTCATAAATCTCCCTTGAAGTTTATGATAATTCCTCCTCAATTTACATATCAAATTGGAGGGCTTGTCAAAAATTAAAGAAAACGAAATAAAACTCACATTCTTTTATTTTCAAGCTTGTTTTTTCTTTTCTTGTTTTTTGCTCGTTGCTATAGTGATTCTAGCCTAATCTCTCTCCTTTTAAAAAAAAAAAAATTTTTGTTAAAAACAAGTGCATGATTGTACTTTTCGAGTTCCAGTGGGTTCCCAAAAGTTCTCATTTCACTAGCAAAAGAAAGAAAGGAAAAAAAAAAGGTTTTTTTTTTAATTGAAAAAAAAAGAGAGAAGGTTCTAATCAGGGAGTTGGACCATAGGGCGAAACGTAAAGTAACAGAAGGCAAATACTATGATGAAATGTCAAAGTACCAAGTAAAGTGGGTAAGAGTTCACCGATGGCCGGCCAATCATTGGGTTGAAATTCCGCGCCGGGCTTCTCGGAAGTCCACCTGACCTTTTCTTACACCTAAAATCAAAACGGCCACAGCAAAACCAAAAAAAAGGAAAATGCAGTTTTCATCTGGGGAGACGTGCATGGAGTATTCCCATGCATGTAACGAGAGACTGATTCATCTCCATCTCCATCTCGCCCCTTCATTTCCCTCCCTCCTCCTCCTCACTGCTGAGCTAAATCTACCTCATCACCCCCACCTTCTTAATTAAGTTTCTCATCTCTAGATAAGAACATATATATGCACCACCGTCAATTTGTTGATTAATTTCCTCGATCCATCATTGATGATTTGATTTCATTAATTTTCCCCTTCCTTCCTGATCAGCATTTCCACTTTTAATCAATCAATCGTCACCACCATCACAAAGAACAAATACTAGCACGCAGTAGTCCGAATATATATAACCATTATGGAGGAGGAGCACGAGACCTCTTCTCTGAGGGCCAGGCGCAAGAAGTCCTCCGTCACCCTGCGGTGCTGCTTCAATGGCCATCGTCGCGCCGACTCCTTGGATGCGCCCTCCTCTTCATCTGTGCTCCCAAGTCCCAGCAGCAGCCGAAGGATGTCTCCATCCGCATGGATCCGATCCAAAACCAATGAACTCCCCGACGTCAAGATCAAGGGAACGTACAGGGGTTTGATGTCTTGTATGCGTCGACACCGTCGCCATTCTTCCGCTGATTTCAGTTACGACCCCCTCAGCTACTCCCTCAATTTTGAGGACGATGATCATGAATCTTCTGAGGGGACCGGGGAGTTTCCCATGCGGAGCTTTGCCGCAAGATTACCATTATCGCCGCCAAGGTCAGCAACCGGAGATGGAGATCAAATAAGGATGAAGCAGCAGCCGCAGATGACGATTAGGACGACTCCTCAGCCCACCATTGCCGGGTCCCCCTCAACAACCAGGGCTGCAGCCGTTGCTGAGGTACTGAAGAGCCTGCAGCAGCTGGATGTGGAGACGCCTGCAGGAAGGACAAGGGGTACTCCTGAATTGTCCCCCCCAATTCATAATACAAGGAAGCAGCAGCACCTTGCAGAAGAAATTCGGAAATCAAGGAGCTCTGATCATGATCATGCAGGAGAGCTAATGAGGAGAAGCCTCGACTTACCACACCCGCCACCAACGCCCGGGAAGGTGATCCTGACCTCCACTACTCCTACTACCAGTGCTTCTACAACCACACCCACCTCACGCCAAGTTTTGGTTGAATTATTTTAAGGGGTCCGGAGGTTGGCTCCTAGCCGTTTCAATTTCATAACTTAGACGTGTTTCCAGGCAGCTCAAGATTCAATCATTAACATCTTGCCAAGGCTCTGTATGCTGATATTTCAAATTTCGTTTTCACAAACAATAAATATTTGGATCATTGTGCATTACTTAATCAGCTATGCATGTTTCTCGATTTGGGTTCAGATTAAAGCACCATCTTGTTTCAATTTTGTCTGTAACATTTTCTTTCAACAGGTTTGCCTATTAGTACATCATTGTTGATTGCATAGCTCCAAGTGCAATAATAGTCAACTTTGGAGTACAGCTTTTTATTGACACTATGAAACTCAAATGCTGAAGAGCACTAACATGATCTTGTACAACTGGCCAGTAGATTATTCAAATATACACCCACATCATATATACCTACACTGTACACAAATACAACAAAACAAAAAATGAGATGAAGCTAGCAGAGCACAGATAAGCCGTTCCATCAAATTCTGATCAAGCAAACCTCGTATTTATCATTTGGGATGTAGTCTACCATTGCCTCTTCTTGCTTATATATCAAGGTTGAGATAAACCAACCCAGATAAAATTGTCGTTTCATCACCAAAGTTGATTCTTGTTTAACATTAGGATCAAGAAACGTATTTAGCTTCAAATCCCCCGGTATTCACATGTTACTTATAAAACATCCCTTACAGAACAGAACTATAGTACCAACATTTGATGCACCATTTGAAGAGGAGGCACAAATTGCCATCACTTGGAGCATATGACTATACTGATGTCTTTCTTTTTACGTGTAATGACCACTGCTGTTTCACCTGCAATACCTTTTCTTTTCAATCTAGGTGGAAGTTCTTTTAAATTTGTAATTGGAATAAATTTTACAACTCATAGATTACCTTTTCCTTTTGCTCTTCAAGGCTGTAGAAGGTGAAGGATTACTGTGCCAATTTCTCTTTCTCTGGTTGATGAACCAGTTATTTATCTGCTTTAATTGCAAACCCGTTTCCTGAACCAGTCTTGCCTTATCTTCTTCCTGCAAAATTTGGCAATAACATTTAAGTTCTGGATAGTACATCAGATTGAAGTTGAAAGGTTTATCTTATTATCATTAACTACAGTGGTGCTCATCAAGAATGGCTGAGCATATTAGGCAAGAGTTGGGCCCCTTTAAGAAGGTTACATCACTATGGTACACCTGCATATGATCTCAGTAGAAGGGAAGCTACAGGGAAGATAAATTAGGCGAACCTCAACAGTAATAGTGCTTTACATACGAAAGTTTAATTCTTTGCAAACAGAATCATGCACTTGAAATTCTGAAACAAGATAGTGAATATAGCAGCAATAATTTGTCTTTTAAACTTACCGTGGGGTATGGCCACTTGGAATGCGATTGCCACCAATCTTTTAAAACAGAAGTGGTATCACCAGGGAGTTTTCCTGCTCTTCTCTTCCGCAAAATCTCCTCCCTAATGTCCACAATTTTTTCCTTATAACCCTGTTTTGGGGAAGCAAGAAAGGAAAAGTTTGAATATGCTAACCAAAAGTGGTAACATTTTATGCCACCCACAATGACACATCAATATAATTCACAATACTGTACAAAACACATCCCTTTCATTGGAAACCCATGCATTTGTGACTCCAACTCTTTAATAAAACTATTGGTGGCTGATATTCAGTAAACAACCTGTTTAAGTTCATGCTTCAGCTCCTGCCTCACCCTCTCCATCAACGACCTTTCACTCTCCGTGGGGATTAAAGGTCCAAAACCCATGCCATCAGGACCATCCAAACTTCCATCAAACAGGTTGCCATCACTATCCACCTGGTCATCTTCGTCATCTGACATTGTTGCACCTGTTCCTTCTCCTGGAGATACTCCTGTATAATCGTGTAAATGAAGCATTAGCTTTAGCAATTTCAGGCTCCTGGAGAGATTGCAGTACATATTATGCACATGTGCAAGCCTATAGTTAGCTAATCTCATGAAAGAATGTCAGACTAAAAAGTGAGTAAAAGGAGATCCCAGGTTGAAAAGACAAGTCAACAGTCACCCTCAAGAAACTCAAATTCAAGGAAAGTCTTTGGGAAGTATTGTTCAAAACCAAAATAATTAATAAATTTTACACTGATTAGATACCAGTTATGGGGTCTTTCCAATGACAATGTTGTCGTCTTTTTTTTGTGGTGTTAGCCTTGCATGCAAAAAGCTAATCATATCATACAGCAGTTAACTAGTTTAATTGTAAACGCTAACCTCTATAATGGCAAAACAATGCCTAGAATTAATCACAGAAGTAATTTCAACAAAAGAAACTGTAATGGAGTAGCAAAAGATTTATGTAGTATCATTGAAAGATCCAGTGGGATTCTCGACTTAATCACCTACCATGGTACACGTCAAGAATTGTAGCATGATTAGCAGCAAATTCAGTCAGAATTCAAAGAAGTATTAATTTTGCCAATATTTTCTAGGCCAAGCAATTGTAAATCAATTGTAGGTTTGACGTCATTTTTCATTGATCCTCACCACAATAAAAATGCATTCGTACAGCATATGCAGTCACTGTTGTCAACATTAAAATCCAAATAGGAAGAATAAATGAAGATTGAAGTAGGAAGCTAAAAAAACATTACAATCATAGAAGAAGTGGTTTAAGATGAAAAATCTAGAAAAGATCAATACTCCATCAGCAGTCCCATATGACAATGGTAAGGTTTTATATGATCGCCGTACAGCTGTGGAATTGGAAAAATCATTTAGGCTGCCCACAAGACAGGTCTCACATGAGACCAAATGTTTCGGCCAAGAGAGAATGACAAAATGTGAGAACATATGGTAAAAACAGTTTGAAGCATATCAAAGAGATTTTCCAGTAAAACTCATTAAAGGAAGGTTGTTACAACACTCACCTGTTAAACTTTGCAGCGACTGTTCGATCTCCCAGCAAGCCATAACTGCTTCCATTGCATGAATACGCACGTGCTGTTGCAGTTGTTCTTTGAAAGAACAAAGTAACAGGACATAGTGTGTCTACATGATAACAGGAAGAGAGAAAAGTTTAGTCATTCCAGAAGTTGTTTGGACTGAAAATAGTATCTGCTTACCACAACTCTGAAGAACAAAAGGGCATACCAAAACAAATTCTGGTTATCTTTTTCATCTTTAACAGTATTTAAGTTGCAAAGGAGTTAGCAGCCATGACAGTGGGATTAGCTATACATTGAAATACTAGAAAGAGGACTAAACACGTTGATTCTGCACGAAGAATCTCTGTTCTATATTGTAGCCCAATTGCATTTGATTGTCCAGAAATAACTCTTTCCATTTATCGCAAGTAGACATATGAGCTCTTATGAGCCAAGGAAGGGGCTCTCCCAAAGTTTAGCATCCAACTTCAACAGGATCTATGTTTCCAGTATCTCCATAATGCTGCACTCATCAGATGAGCAAAACTCCACAACATATCTCTTTTAGGATAGAAAAAGATAGACATCCCCAGCAGCATTCAGTTCTATCAGAAACTATTTTGTGTTTAGCCTCTATTTTCTTAATGCCCTAAAAACACAAAGCTTATAGTCAATCAAATACTGAGATATCAGGTTTTCAGATCACCAAGGTAAAAGTTGATCGCTATTTCGGTCATATCTTAGGGAAGAACCTGTCGTTTCCAACCTGCCATACTGACCATTGGCAAAACATTTACTGCTGTGACCGAACTTGCAAGACAACGAAAGCTTCTCCAGTGGTGCCAAAGAACAAAGTACAGAAACTCAGACTACAATTGGGTGTAACCACTTTAAGCAGGTAACATTTATGATTCCCTCCGTTGAGCTTAGTATCTATGATCCACCACCCTCAAAAGAATCAAACATCATCTTCTAGAATGGTGGTGGGATAATTATTAAAATCAGATTGAGGTTGTAATCATCAATAAATCAGGTGATATCCGCTAATAACACCAATTTGCATATAAAAGGAAACTAAGGAAATCGGATAATGAGGTTGCGTTGGGTCATACCCAGGTAATCCACAACTTTGCATAGAAAAGGGAACTGTGCTTCCGAAAACCCCTTTCTGGTAAACATCATACATATATCTATATGGACAGGAAGCAGAGAACCAAGCGGTCATCCATATATTATGCCAGTGCGCAAAGCACAGACAAGACAACTATGACAAACACAGTTTTAAGCCGGTGTACATACACTGTCATGTACATGAAACTTGACCACAGGTCAAGAAAGAATAGCAAAGCTAAGTTTGCATGCCAGCTACCTGTGTGCCCGTATTAGTTGATTACAAGAAAAATCATCAATTTTGTAGTTTATCGACAAAATCAGAGGGCAAAAGGAATTTTTTTTTTTTTTTATTATTAAAAGAAAAGGGACGGTCGTGTGGAACATAGGAGCAGTATCTGAATACCGTGTCAAAATTAATTCAAGTTGGAGAATTTCTTCATCAGAACGGAGCAGACAACACTTAAAATGATGGATACACACTACAGAAAAGTATAGAGCAGCCACTTTGCATTAGCAAGGAAAAACTTTTCTTTCATGATGCGCCGAGGATGAAAAACACATTATTGCTGTTGTCTTCCGCTCTACTAGAGTCTGAATGTTAACTTTTTTTCCAAACAGGTGGCAACACACTGTACGCATAAGTTAAAACACTAGAGAAGTATATGTATCGGTGATTAAACCAAAGAAAGGAAACAACAAAATTATCGTTTTTGTTGTCATAGTTACCAAGAGGCGATCTTTTGAATTCCAGCACCAGCAGCGGTCAAACAAACAAAAACAACAAATTATTTTTTAAAAAATAAAAAAAGAGGAAAAAATAAAAAATATCTGTAGATATGTACAATATACATGGGAGGAGGAGGAGGTTAAAGAGGTTACCATGAATTGGTCAAGGTCCTTGTGATCTTCGGGTCCTAAATTTGCATGTCCAACTCCTCCAAGGGCGGAATATTTGGTGACAACTTGCTGTGACTGAGCGAGCTGAGCATCAATTCTGGGCAACTGATCGACAGGGGTGGCAATACGCAAGCAGGCGACGTGGGCAGACAACAACTGTTGGTAGAGGGGATGTCCCAAAATCTGAGCTTTGTAGCCTGCATTCTGCCAATTGAGGGTGGTGGTGGTGTGGGTCAAGTCTGGGACGGGTGCGGTGTTGGTGGTGGTAGTTGAAGGAGTAGGGTTGGGGTTTGTGTGAGGAGCATGGAGGGGGGCGGGGGTGAGGATGGAGTCGGAATTGGAGTCGGAGTTGGAGTGCAAGTTGAGGAAATTGGAGTCATGTGGCGGGGGGGCGGAGGTGAAATGAGAGCTGTTGAGCCAGGTGGGAGGTGGGGGAGGGGGCTTTGTCTCCGGAGTGGATTGAGGCAAGTGCTGCTGCTGGTCTGAGAAATGGCGCAAATTAAGCATTTCTGGTGATAAATGATGGTCTGGAAAGGCCATCCCAGGTCCTCGACTTAGATTAGAGAAGAACTCTCGAAATATTGGAGTTGGTGCACTTTTGAACAATATATATATATATTACTATCACTACTAATTCTTCAAACAATCCTACTCACTTTTTAATTGTAACTCGTAACTGCAATCGTAGGAGCGGCAGAGCAATATGAGAGTTCATGTTCGTGTGGCCACTGATTTCTGATTTCTGATGTTCATGTGGCCACTACTTATCCTCCTTGTCATCATTGCAGATATACTCCTAGCTACCCTATCAGCTAATCTAATCTAGTCTAATCTAACCTAATCTAATCTAGTAGCAGTAGGAGTTAGGAGTAAAAGTGCTCTATCATTATGTATATAGTAGTATATACTACTTACAATTAATTGGTACAATAGGCAAGTGTAATCTGTTTTCGTCTGTATCACTAGCACTAACAAACACTCTAGTTTGTGACTCCCTGTGTGGGGTAGTGAATTGAATGAATCTTCTTCTTCGCAACTCAAGGATATTAAAAAGTCCTACTCCTACATCATACACAACCACAACTTCAATAGCTGCCTAGCTAGGAGTGTGTAACTGTGTATTATAGTGCTACTAGTAGTTAGTATATATATGTGTGTGTGTGTGTGTGTGTGCGGCACTAGCGGAGGACTAGTTAGTAGTAGTATTGTGAAGGAGGAGGAAATGAAGAGGTCGCCGGAGCTAGCAGAGAGTTGTTATACTAGCAGAGTAGTAAAATTGACCCCCGATTCTCTTTCTGTCACAGAGTTCTTCCCCAGCCTGCCTCCCTGCTGCTGCTGCTTGCCAATACTACTCCCTAATATTGCAGAAAATGTTAGCAGCAGACGTACACGCCCAGAAACAGAGAGATGGAGAGAGAGAAGGGGAGGGAGGGAGAATTTTGATACAGAGGAAGAAGAAGAGAATGAGACAGAGAGATGATCATTTCAAGCTTCCAAGTGTATACGCATCCTATGTGCGGAGAAAGAAAATCAAGATGACGTATACCCAAAGCTTCTGCCTTCTGAGGGTGTTCTACTCTTATGTCGTTGAATCCTCGGAAATAAAAATTTTTTTTTTTTTGATATATAAGAAATGGAGACGACTCGTGAGGAGAAGACTCAGCACAGTCAAGACTGAATAGCGAGGGAGGGGAACGGGGATGTTGGGTGACTATGAGGGAGTAGGGACTCTCTCTCTCTGTATTTTGATTTGGCCAAATTGGAAATTGGAGCGATACTCCTGCTACTGCAGATTCTCCAAGTCTGCGCCGCTCCTCCCCCCAATTTTCGTAGGGATAATTTCATAAACCTCCCTTGAGATTTATGAATATTTCACTAGTCTCTCTCTAAATTTTGAAATTTACACTAGTATCTTTTGATATTAATTATCTTGTAATATTTAAATTAAATGAATGACTAAAAAGAGATGTTAGGAGAAAGTAGGTAATATGATTACATCATTAGCCCTCATCTACTTATTTAATTAATTTAATATCAAGTCACACATTAAGGAAAAGCACTGCATTTTATTGTTTATCATTTGAGATCAAATCCCATATAGCATCAAAAAATAGTATATCATTTTATATTTTTCAGTTAATATAATATCCAAATTACTCTTTTGAGTTACATACTTATTGTCAAACATGATCAACAACAAACAATCAAAAAATTTGCAGCCAAAATTTTATAGAGGACAAACTTTAAAATCATAAATATTTTTGCCAATACATTAAAGTTAGTTGTTGGGATTTTTATGGTATTAAAGTTCACCGTTTGTAATATGTTGGTTATAATTTTTTTTTTGATTCTTTGTTGTGACCATGTTTCATAATGGGTTTGTGACTGAAAAGAACAATTTAGGTTTTACATTAAGTAAAATCTAACCAATGATATACTATTTTTTATATCACATGTGATTTAATTTCTGATGATAAACATTAAATTCTAGCATTTTTAAAAATGTTTGGGCATGTATTAGATCAATTAAACAATTTAGTAGATAAGGAACAATGGCGGAACTCTCTTTTTCCAGTATCATTTTTTTAATTGTTGATTGAATCTAGATGTTACAAAATAATAAATCTGCCAAAAGAGATTAGTGTAATTTTTAAAATCTGGAGGAAAGCCAACAAAATAGTCAGAAATCTCAAGAGAAGCTTAAAAAATTATGTGTATTCTTTCCAAAAACCAAGACAATCCATTTACTACTACTAGGTAGAAGTCATCGAGCTCAAATCTTTTTCTTCTTCTTTAACACTTCATTTTCCATTCAAATCATTTTTTATTCTTTTTTTTTTTTGTGTTGTTGTCTCCAATACATGCTACTTTACTAATGATGTCCTTTTCCTTTAATGAATTTGTCAAATTTCTCCATTCAAATATATATTATTATTTCCCCATTGTTTCACGTAGCACGCCTTATCATTTCGATCAACTCCCCAAACTCAGACGTGATCTAAGGTTGCGTATATCTCTTAGCTTTTCACTGTCATGATCATTTGGCCCCCCACTTATTTCATAACCATACTGCCCTCTGCAATTGATTCTTCTGTCTACTTGGGTTCCATTGGAGTGTTATAGCAATTCCAACAACATTTGATGTAAATTCCATCGGAGTGTAACTTTGGAGTAATCGTCAATTAGTTAAATAAGTTGATAAAATTCACGTACATATTACTTGTACTTTTTTTTTTTTCTGATGAAATGGGTGTCCGAGTCAATTCTTATGAGGCCCGACTAATTCCATTCTGACCTGAGTGGAGAGGCTCCATCCCCGAACGCGTTAATAGCGAGACTCGAACCCTGTTGCCAAGAAGGTCGCCATATCCTAAAGAGGGGAAACGAACCGCTCGAACTACCCTGCAGAGGCACGTACATATTACTTGTACGAGTTGACAAAATTCACAAACTTATTGTACCACCGTTCCATACCAATTGTTATGAGAAGTATATAATTGGATCGAATGGGACGGGACTTCGAGCACGGGTCCTGGATCCCTACCAAACCAAATGAACCCTAGCATTCTAATACCTTGCCAGAGTTTTGACCAATTTCTAGATATTTGAAATAAGGATTAATCTTTTTTATACTGATAATATATACACTATCAGCGCTGGATGAAATGATAACTTTGCAAAATTTTTAAATTTAAAATTTAATTTTTGCACATATACAATGAATTCAACAACAATAATAATATATGCACTGTCAGTGTGCATAAGATATACTCAATAAATATGATTTAGAATAATGGCTATAATATTTTTTTATGATATAATTTATGTGAGATAAAAAGATAATTAAAAAATAAAAATATGTTTTAAAAATTATATGGGCTGCGTTTGGATTGAGTGTTTTTGCACCTGTTTTTGAAAAACTGTTTTTCACATTCCAAATGCTACAGTAATGTGTATTTCAAAAACAACTTAAAAAACAACCATATCCAAACAATATATCAAAAACAACTCCAAATATATTTCAATTATGTATATTTAATTTGTATATTTTAATAAGTATATTTCAATTTGTATATTTTAATTATGTATTTTAATATGAATATTTCAATTATATTTTAATATATTTTAATATGTATATTTCAATTATGTATTTTAATATGTATATTTCAATTATGTATATTATATATATATTATATTAATATAATATATTTATTTCAATTATGTATAATATTATATATATTATATCAATTGAAATAAATATTATATATTTATATAAATACATTTATTTATATATAAATTTATAAATATATTTATTCAATTTTGTTTTATAATATATATTAATATGTATATTTCAATTATGTATATTATACATAAATTATATTAATAATAATGTATATTATATTATTATACATTTCTAATATTATATATTTATACATACATATTATAAATATTTTGTTTTATTAATAATATATTTTTGTTTATTTATAATATATTTACATAAATATTATATGTTATATAAATTATATATAATATAATATATAATATATTATACATTTATATAAATGTACATTTATACATAATATATAAATATTTATGTATATTTATAATATACATTTATATTATGTATAATATATAATATAATACATTTATACATTTATACATTTATATTAATATACATAATATTAATTTTACATTTATACATAATATTAATACATTTATATATTTATATTAATTATATTAATACATTTCTACATAATATTAATATATATTTATAATTTATTAATTTATACATTTATATAATATCATTTATAATTCATACATTTTTAATAATATACACTTATACATTTAAATATACATTTATATTATGTATTATATATAATATAATACATTTATACATTTATATTAATATACATAATATTAATTTTACATTTATACATAATATCAATACATATATACATTTATATTAATTATATAAATACATTTCTACATAATATTAATATATATTTATAATATATTAATTTATACATTTATAATAATATACACTTATAATTTATAATATTCATTTATAATTTATACATTTATAATAATATACACTAATACATTTATAAATATATATATTATGTATTATGTATAGTATAATACATTATATATTTTTATATGAATATATAAATATATGTATTTATAAATATCTATAAATGTATTATAAATGCATATTTGTATAAAAATTTATAATTTATAATTTATAATTTATACATTTATATAATATTCATTTATAATTTATTCATTTATAATAATATACATCTATACATTTGTAAATATAAATGTATTATAAATGCATAAATGTATATTTATATAAAAATATAAAAATTATAATATTCTAAAAATACTCAAAAATATGTTTCAAAAATACCTCTAAAAATAATCCAAAAAAATCTACAGTAAAAGTTTTTCATATAGTTTTTGAAAAACAAACCCAAAAACAACTAATCCAAACGGATTTGTTTTTCAGATTCAAAATGCTACAGTGGTGTTTTTGAAAAACAAACCCAAAAACAGCTAATCCAAACGGAGCCATGCATTTGTGATATAAGCAAATAAGTTTTGACCAAATTTATTTAGCTATTTATTTATGTTTTCAAAAAATTATCACATCAAAAAAAGGCAGGCATCTTGTGTAGTCAGCAAAGTAGTAACGTGTTTCATTGGGATCAGTAAAATCTAGAAAGTCCTGGGTTTTAAAAATTAGCGACTGATGGTGGAGTTGGTTGACCACATTTGTCAAAACGAAACTGGATAACGTCGCCCCCTTCTCCGCCACTCGCGGAGGAGGACAGTGACGCACGCGCGGAGAGGGGAGGGCAAGCGGAGGTAGAGCGCCGTAGAGGCAGACGCAGAGGCAGTAGTGTGAAGGTGAGGGGTAAAGATATTTAATGCGGTGGCGGGACCATCTTAAAAGCACGCGGCAGCGACATAGCCAATGAGGAGGTAGCAAGTGGAGGGACGGCAGGGGATGGACGGAGGAAGGACCACCTAAGAATGTTGACTTTTGTGGTCCGGACCGCTCCGCCTGGTGCTGTTGCTGTTGCTGTTGCTGTTGCTGTTGAGGCACTGGAATTGGCGGGCAAAAGGCAAAAGCAAGCCAACAGCCACAGCAGGATATTAAATGCTGGCTATTAGTAATAATAATACGGCGTTGGGACCGACTAAGCCCGAACGAGCATTTCTGGTGTTGGGGTGGGGACCGGGACACGCCCAGTTGCTTGTCCGGAGTCTGTCTGGAGAGGGAAGTGAACGAACGGGCGACTTTCAACTCAATCCACTAATCCTTCTTATAAACTGCCATACCATGTACATATAATATGCTACTCTTGAATACTAGTAGTTGTACACCACACTACATACGTTGTACTAATTCACTCACTATAAATTGTGAGTATTTTTATTTTATATTTTGCCGACGAAAATGTTGCTAATTTTTTTTTTTCTAATTTATTGTTGATAAGGCACGATCCTTAGATATCCATGTAGTTGTTTGCATCACAAATTACGCGACGTCCATCCTAGCTCATTTAACTAATTTTGGGTCATTTTGAGTATCTTATTGAAATCAAAACTATATATGATCACCTGCTAACTACCAATAAGGAGGAGTAACACGCAGAGCAAGGCTAATTAGCAGGAGGGTTGGTCATAGTTATTAGACCTGATTCAGAACTTAACTTAAAGAATTTGTTACTTAATTACTTTAATTAGCAATTTAATTTGAACTTATGACTGATTCATCGAATTGACCGGTTCAACCACCAGCCGAGGAGGAGGAGGCAGGTTTTAACGATTTATAATCCAACTGCCAATTAATGGTGTACGTACGTGGGCCTGAGGAGGGGAAAAAGAATAAACTCCAGGTATACATATGAAAAACGGTACCCTCTCCTACCTACCTACCTATTATGGGTCTTTAAATAATCAAAATAATAATGTTGTTGTAAGTAAATGGTCCCCTCCTAACTGCTGTATTAATTTACACCTTCTCTGCCGTCAGCGGCTCCACAGTCCACACCCACCCAATCCCACCATTGCCACCAATTACCAATCCGAAGCCTTACCCATTTTGAATCTTGATTGCCTTTCGCCGCTTCCTCCTCCACCACTGCTTCTCCCATCAATTTTTTTGACCTGGCTCTTGAAACCAAAACACTTTAAATAACACATGCTACTATATAACTAATTAAAACCACTCCGTGAAATTTTTGTGTTGTCAATTTGGGTACCTGACACTACTAATTAACCGAGTTGAATTAACCTAGTCAAGCATCGACAATTCTGTAGCATTACAAAATTTGTCTCCGACCCATCCAGAAATGTGAATAGTACACTAGTACTTCAGTTTTTTACCTACTTCATCAGGCCAAAAATGTCTCCATCCCGTCGGAGAATGGAACCCTTATGCTCAAGGAAGGCGGCCGGTCCACAGTACGCAAAATTATGCGCACGTAAACTTCATCCAATTGATCCCTTTTTTTTTTTTTTTTTGTCAATACGATATATATATAATTATTCTATGTTACGGGGAGGAGAGGACCTGAAGAGGTCAGGAGGAAATCGGAGGGGACTGAACCTCAAGTATGCACTCGTCTGGAAGAGATCACATTTTTGGGACCAATGGTAGGAGACTGGGTTTGATTTCCTGACCTCCCACCCCATCAACTTTGATGATGGCCATTGAGCTAAGAGCTGAGTGGTTCTTCATCCAAATTGATCAAAACCCAATATTAGCTCAAACTCGGCGAGTGGAACGAATAAAAAAAAAAAAAATTTTTGAGTAAATTTTATATATATTGACGATGTATACATCATCACCATTTGATTCATGATATATATGTAAAAGTTAAATTTTAAATTCAAATTTTTGCATAATTATCATTCATCCATCTAACGTTGACAGTGTATATATTATCAGTATAGGAAAGATTAATTCAAAAAAATTTAAAATTAAACTTGTGTGAGTGTGTGTTTGGATTGGAAGAAAAAAAAAGGACGAAGGTGCGGATTGGACGGAATTTACAGCCCGCACGCCGCACTAGACCACTACAGTAAGTACGCTCGGCTGTTTTGCACTCTCCGTGGAGTGCAATTTGCACGTAGTTTCCTCCCCTTTCGGCCTCAAAATTAGGCTTTCTTCTTCTTCTTCTTCTTCATGGACCACAGCTGCACTTATTATACGCTCATCCTCTCCCTCTCACTCTCAATTTCATTCATGGACCACAATTCCACTGCCTTTTGTCTTTCTTTCCCATACATTTGTAGGTATACATACATACGTAACTACTCTCAGTTGGATATGATTATGGGGATTGTTATTCGATCCCATTCTAGCCATTACTCGTTGATGTTACCCTTTTTTATATATGTATAGGATTCTCAACCTTTTAATTACGTGAACTAGACAAAAAAATTTTGTCATCTTTATTCCATTTGTTGTCACTCTTTTTTTCTTTTGTCAAATCTTTTCATTCTAAGCAAGTACTAAAAAAAAAAAAAAAAAAAGGTTGAGGGGGGGGAGTTGTGACCGACAAGCACGAGACTGTGAGCAGCAATTATGTACTGTAATTCTTCGGTAAATAAGGAACTTTTAGTTTTGGCCGACACGAGAACAAGTTAAGACACCTCAGGCTCGGGATTACGCACGGCGGTTGTTTTGTAATGGAGTATGGACTCATTGAATAGCGATAATGTAGACATGTTGCGCAATGATTGAGTTCATCGAATTCGAGTTTCGACCGCATAACCTCGTGAACGCTCGGATTCTCGTCATGAACTCATTAGACAGAGAAAGTCTTGTTAGATAGAGAAACGGTGGACATATTACGATTATGATTGGCGACGGGCACGAAAATTGATTACTTCTTCACCAAATCGAAAACAAAAAATATATATATATTGGAAAAATGAAAGAGGCATTATTAATTGTTGGTGAAAACTAGCGAAATGTCAAACAAGAAGGTGTGGAAATCCTTTACTAGCTAGCAAGGTCAGGTCTCGTGGAAGAAAAGATCTTTTGAAACTGCCCAATAAGAGGAGAAGAGGGGGTCGGTGTTGGTGGAGTTTGGTTTAGGGGAAAAATATCTGGCGAAAGGAACTAATGAAATGGTCAAATTGAGCAGTGGGAGAAGGCTAAATTAAAAATTGTGGCTCGGACATAATAAAACAATGTACTCCTTTCTCGAATTGGACTCCTTTCTCGAGAGCTGAGCAGTGCTGGTTGCAAGTAGTGAATAGAAGTCCATTTTATAAAAGCAAAATTGGGCTTTAGAAAATTTGTAAAAGCCCAATTCGACATTGTTTAACCCACGCTCCCCGCCCAATAATGCAAAGAAAAGAAAACCCCAGTTGCATCCTTCTTCTCTCCCGTCTCTGCTCCAATACGTATCCAAAATCCTCCTTAAAACCCTAAGCCGAGTGATACTGCTAGTGCTGAAAAGAACAACCGTCTCTCTCTCTCTCTCTCTGGTAAAAACTCGGAAGAGTAGCCCCTCCTCTCTTCACGCTCAATTTTCTTTTCTGTTTCTTCTAAATTTGTGGTTTACGTTATTTTATTATGAGGAGTAAAATTTTTTTTTTTTTTTTTATGGACTCAGCAATTGAACGATGTTATTAAGAATTGCGTAATTTGTTTTTTGTTTTTGTTGAATGGGCAGGTACTTACGTACGCGGGATAGCGAGATGTTTCTGCAGTTCTATATCAATGAAAATGGGGACAAAGTTTACACAACAAAGGTTCCTCTTTTTTTTTTTTTTTTTTTTTTGTCCTCTCGCCATCTCTCTCTCTCTCTGAGAATGAATGAATGAATTAATGAAATCACACCTTTTTATTTGTTGTTAGGTTATCATCACTACTAGATTTAGCTGAATTTTTATTAGCATTTGTTTATTTATTTGGGTGTCTTGCGAAGGGAAACTTACTCCGATGAAACGATATATGTACATGGGCGGCCGGCCGGGCTATTGCTCCGATGCATTTTTATTAGTATTTGTTGTAAGGTTTTCCCTTGTTGAGCGAGCTGCTGCGGCCCATTGCTAGATTCTTTTAGACCTGTTGTGGGGGGTTAAGGGTCAACTGCTTTTTTCTTCTCGTAACCAAGTAGTACTAGTGTAATCCACCTCGTGCGACCTACACTTTTTTTATTCTTTGATACAATACGATTGCTGCATGCATGGTTTAGCGCATTCATTCAAAGCTTCCAAGTCTGCTTGCCGTCTATCCTCGACTCTATCCTTCCTTCCTTGTAAACCCATTTCTAATTGGCTTTTATGCAAAGCTACCAGCTCCACTGCATGTCCATTTTGCTTTCCTGTAGCTAGAAGAATGTGGGCCTTCCTTCATTTCTACGGTTGTCTCTTGCTATTCTTTTGTTAACTTTGACCGCTTTCCGTGCAGAAAGAATCTCCCGTAGGTGCCATCACACTATCTGCTCACCCTGGTAATTCGCTTTCAGCACTTTTTTTTTTGTTGCTTTAACCTATGTCTGCAATTGCCTTTTTATTTTGTACTAGTAAATCTGAGCCAGAAAAGATTGCTTTCTTAGCTTAATTGATTTGAGATGCCTTGATGAAACTGTCTGTGTTTGTCTGCAGCATGACCTCATTTTTTCCCCAAATCTTTTATAGTTTCATTCTAGGAGAACGAAGTTAATTGTATTCTCTGTTTTGAGCAGTATCCATCTAAATCAAATGGTCGTGCATTGATTGTTTTCATGTGTGATTTTGGTGGCGATGTGTTATCGATGGAAATGGATGCTGATTCTATTTGATGCATACTCTTTTTGTTGCATTGCTGACTTTAAACCTGTTTCGCATTAATTTGTCTATTCAAATTGATATATCTGGGAAAAGAAGATTATTGAATCTCTCTCTCTCTCCCTCTCTCTCTCTCGGTACTTGCTCTAGATGCCGACATGGAAGCATACATGTTTCTTTTGTTGTGATGAGTTTCGTCATGCTACTTTTTTGCGCTACCATGATCTTTTTGAATATCTATGGAGCATAATATAGCTCCTCTCCCCCCCACGCCCCAAAAAAAAAAAAAAAAAACTAATTGATTTCAACATGCAGCTCGTTTCTCTCCGGATGATAAATACTCAAGGCAGAGGGTGCTTCTGAAGAAGCGTTTTGGTTTGCTGCCAACCCAAAAGCCCCCACCAAAATACTAGAGTTCTCTGTTCTCCCAAGATGCTAGAGCTTTTTCTCGTAGCATCACGAGACTTGTATGACCTATTATTAGTAGCTAGTTCTAGTCTTGATGTATTGTACACTTATTGATGAGTTATCAATGCAACTGTCTTGAGTTTGCCTAAATCTTTAAGACTTTGAACTCGTTATTGATCTATGACTTTGTATTCTCTTGATGTTCGTACCTTTGAGTGGGATCTGTTCTCAACAAATGTGTAATTAAAGTAACCATAGTTCCTAATATCGTGTCGCTTTCTTGCAGTTTATTCAACCAAACCAACAAATGTGTTATTGATCTAATAGCCTTTTCAAGTCCTGAATATTTTCTATGGTAATATCTATTGGCTTATTAGTGATCAATTGGAGTAGCTCATTTCTGATAAGCTCTGCTCAATTGAGAGGCCCCCAAATGTACTTTGTTGGGCTAGCTTTAGGTAGCTAAATTAGGCAAACATGCGTCAAAAAAAAGAAAAAAGGAATGCTTGTATCCCGATCCAGGAACTCCTAAAAAACCAAAGTGGGCGCCTAGAGGGGAGGCCGTAAATCGTAATTGTGAACTCGATCCTTCATCAACCACAAACCCAAAAACTCCGAAAGAAAAGGTGTAATAGGGACTCGATCGTAGGTAAAAACATACCTGCAATCATCTCTTCGATATCTTTACTGGGGCTGGCATTGATCAATTCTTTTAAATTTTTTTTTTCCAGCAGGAAAGAAATAGAACTTAAGATGTGGGAGGAACAAAGGGATTTGAATCCAAAACCTTAAATCCCTGGAAGCCTCAACATTAGCCACTAGATCAATGCCTCATTGGCCTGGCATTGGTCAATTCACCAAAACATAAATAAAATGAATTTCCACCAGCTATCCCTCCCAGGTTGATTCGTGCATATATTTCACTATTTCAGTATGAGACCATAGATGTCTGTCACTCTGCTGACTAAAAGATGTATTTGATCCGTGAAATCAGGAATAAACCATCTATGGACAACTTCGCAAGGCAATCTGTGGCGTTCTCGAGATGAATTTTTTACAAGCATCGTACAATCCTAAGCTCCTAACAAGCTTCATGACAGGATATGAATAATGACACGAAGCAACATCAGTCAAGAAAATGCAAAGAGATGACAATGATCATAATGTAACCCAGATGCTTCAAATTTATGGAGGCGAAGTCCGAAAAAACAAATATTACACAGTTCCACTAACTTGCAAATGAAATGGGGCCCCCCGACAGAAAATTGGCTCGTCATGTGTGTTGCTTTTTGCTCGAGCTCTGAGGATTTCATTAGCATCCTCGATCACAGCAGCAGCTAACAAAGTGTATTCACCAGGGACCAGGAAATACAGGGAGAAGGAATGCTTTACTTCCTGAAGTGGCGGAACCTCCATATTAATGCTGCTCAAAACACCTGACAAACAAGATGAATCAGAACCCCCCCAAAAAAAAAAAAAACTTTTCTCAGCAGCAATATGTTTCATCCATCTAATGGCATGTTAGATGAAGCTTTCCTTGTTTGCACAGCAAAGGCAGTATCAAACAAAAAGAAGCTAAAGGTGAAAGATATCCATATTGACATTATTCCACTGGAATTCGAGGGAAAACATACTAAAACCTATCAATTTGATGTCGTTCAACCGAAATTCACAAGGCCCAATACACATGACATCTAAAAATAAACCAGATAAGATATTTCAATAATTGTAACAAACGTATAAAATATGAAGATCCAGAACAACACCTGTCCATAAGACGGTTGCCTTCTCGCCCTCAAAGCAGTTCTGACCAGCTACATCTCTGCAGGTAATGTTAAGACTTATTCCAACCATTTCTTTAGTATTGTTGCGTACCAACACTTCCATTGGAGTCATATCATGAGCAACAACAGTACTGTTACATACAGCAGAATGCGGTTGCGCATCACATGTCTCAGTAGAATCAAGTTTGACTCTGTGGTCCACATTATCTTTAGCAAGCCGAAAGCCAAAGGTAAGTGGATCAGGTAACAGCACATCCATGACAGATGACTGAAGAGCAGTCTGCATGGCATCCTTGATATTTAGTTCTCCCGAGCTGTTCCGTCCAGATTGCCATCTGACCTTGATTCTGGAAATTAAAGTTTTGATTGTTGCACTAAGTTCAGCCTTGGTATTTTTCTCTGAGAAGCTTGAATTTCTGCTAGTGGCACTTCCATTCACGTGGGAGTCCTTAACAAGGAATGCACCATCAAGAACAGGTAACTTGAAATGTTCCAGAGGTATTAGAACTCTAGCAGTGTAATCCCGGTCAATCCTTGTTTTAGGATAATCAAATTCAGTGCCACTAGAGTCAAGAGAACTATCATTACTGTTAGAGTTCTCCAGCTGGACCGAGACACCAATCTCGAAAACAACATCAGTCGGATTAGATAACTCCAATTCAAGGAAGCGGAGCCCCCAACTTCCCCTGAAAGGGTCAATTTTCATGAAACTATCAGCCTTTCTTTCAGAGCCTGTAGCTTCCTTTGTAGAGTTACTTTGCAACTGGACCACTTTTGGATGGCTGTCACCAACATGAGCCGGAATTTCCATAGACAGCAAGCGTGCCTTAATGAAGGACATGCCCTGTAATACACAGATGTTCAAGGGGATAACCAACCGTCTACCAGGGGGCAGAGCAGATGCATCTTCTGGTGCCTCTCCAGGATTTGTCAGGGGCCCTGACAACAGAAACAGACAATTAAAAATGCTAAAAACATTTGTATGCAATGGCTGAGACATAAAGTTTGACTGCGTTTCTAGAGGGGAAAGGTAAAGAGCTTCCATACTGATAATGGCTGAAGCCAAGCACCATTATGAGGTCAAGGACAAGGATGAGATTCAGATACTTACATACATGATTTGACAGGTAAAGGTGATTAAACTTTTTTTTTAAATTACAAAAGCTACTCAGCAAGACAGTTATGTACACAACAGTTCCATCACCATCGATCCCTACATTTTCCTCAAGGTAACTGCTTGTGCATTCCTTTACATGGGTCATGATAACTTTGAAATATATGATAGAGGATCACCAACAGATAGAAGGATACCTGAATAATGGATGAGTAACATCGGGCTGCTCCTATCCTTCACTTGCCTTCCAGTACCACTAGATATATTCTTGCCAACAGCAGGATCGGTATCCACCGAGCTTAGCTGCCAGGCTTTCAAGGTTATCGGTATAGTAACTTGTGCACCAGGTTTCAAAGGAAGGGAAGACTGCAAGGTTTCATAAGAAATTGATATCACAGAGTCCTGGTTTTTTCCAGATAACGAGATGTGTGCCTGCTCAACTGTGACTGTGCCGGCATTTGCCAAACTAATGCATACATCACGAATCTCACCTTCATATAAAGTGACGGCGCCATCGCCTCCAACAACATGTGAAATGAGCAATGGAAGAGGAGGTGCCACAGAAACAGCTGGAAAGGCAACATTTTTCAACTTGGCAGAGCCACAGCAGCGAAATGGATCAGACAGCACCAGTCCTTGTGCTGCTCCAAGGAGCAGATTATCCACATCCTTGAAGAAATGTTCAGTGATAACACCAAAACAATGAACAATGCATCCAGGAATACTCACTGGACCAACTTTAGTAGGAATTCCTGATAAAGTTATAACCTTTGATGAATTAGATGGGAGGTCGACACTGATTGGGAAAGCGTCAAAGTTTTGGGAATGCACTGAGAGATATATGCTGTCAACAACCACATCAAAACCACATGGATTTGCCAATTCGACAAACACCTGCACGGGTTCCCCAACAACCCACACAAGCTCCTGCTTGCTACTTTGATTTGGTTCTCCTTTGCTAAACGGTGTATAAATAAAAGGCCCCGAAGGAGCAGATCCTGCCCACCAATCCTCCCTTGCAGGATTGCGTTTTACAATGTCCATTTGTGAAGGATGAAGAGGAAAAGAGTGCAACCTAAAACAATTCAAGCACAAAAGCACAAAAAGTTCAGTGCATCTTTTAACAGATGAAAAGGACTACGACGCAAAAGCAAAAGATTGATCCTTTTGTAGACGATAAAAGATCCTAGTCTAAGAAGAATTACGTCCAAACTTTACGCTGCATTTCTTACGCTCTAAGACACTCACATGACTAAGAATACCAATTTATAGATTGATTTTAAGGAGAGAGAACAGATTTTAAGGGGCACAGCATACACAAATAGGGCAATGTCGAAACAAAATGTAAGTCGGAACAAATTATCAGATCTTAATACACAGATCTGAAAGCAAATCCAATAGCCAAGATACTCTTGTACTTCACTTCATCTGATTCTATACACAGCTTTTACACTTTAAGCTAGGCCTTTTGGAACTCAGGACCTCTTTGCTTTGTGCATGTTAAACGAGAGACCAAGCTTTTACCTACATAATATGCTTTATGGGTTAAAAAGCAATATATTCAGGACCTTAGGTTTCAATCCAGGACCTCACCGGAGGCTATCATAGCAGAATTAGAGAAACATGTTTCTGGCAGCTATACCTTATGAAAGGTAAGGCAGGGTCAGCACATCGAGTACCAGATGGGAGCCTTTCTGCTGAACTTGCAAGTGCACTTGCCAGACCATTTTGACCAGCTGGTGTAATGAGAGGATAATATGATCTGAGTAAACGTGCAGCTGCACTCCATGCTGCAAGAGGATCACCAGCTCGTACAGCTGATAAAAGTATTTCTCTTAATACAACCATCTGAAGAGTACTCCATTGAGATTCAAAAAGTGATACTACCCAATTCTGATGTACTTTCCCTACATTGTGGGGAGCTGGACTCGTTTCATTCTGCAAAAAGCAAACAAGGGGAAACCAAATGTTTTGGTGAGAAATCACATTTGACAATTGAGAAGATTTAATAAATACATTAACTGGACTGTAATTCTGCTTTCAAAATTTTTGCACAAAGACAATAATGTACATGTAGCTCAAAATTCCTGTATATCATATGTTGATTCAGTCCAACAATTCAATTACTCTGGGAATAGAAGAATCATTTTGACTACTCCTTTTGAACTCAGGGGGAAAGCATGATGCTTAAAGAGCATTGGAGAAAGATATCAAGAATATGGCAAGGGAAAAGAGATGACAGAGGACTGATCAGCCCCAGAAGAAGATCGGGAAAATAAAATTATTGATCTTATTGAGTTCATACATAAAATGCAATAGATATGATAAATGCAGATTTAAGTGGTTTCAAAGAGTGATCACATTGCAGACAAGGAGTTTAGCTATCATTAGTGGGGACATGAGAAGTGTTGGATTTACAGAAAATAGATTAAGAAGAGAAACAGCACAACCGTTCAGGCATACTAACTAAAGAAGCTTGATGATCAAAGTAGCTGACATCCCCATCTACTGCAACAGAATATTAAGCTTGCATCAAATATGTTATTTTTAGATTTTAAAGTTAGTAATCTTGAAGAGTTTTTCCCACATGTTCTCATAATTTTTTCACACAAAAAAACAGGTAGTTTTCTCTCTCAACTTTAACAAATATGTTAGTGATCTTGCAATGGAAATTTTATCATCATATAAGACATAGATGCAATGCTAAGATCAAAGAGGAACACAAACGTCTACATGTTTTTCTTTCACGTTCTCAAGTAAGAGAATGATCCAAAGTTCCCAAAAGTGCAATTTTTATGGTCATTCTCCAAGGCATAATTCACCCTGGCTGGAATTTATCAATAGTGCAAAGGTTTTAGCAATTATATCATAAGCCCTTCACCAAGTTCCTATTTGCTCTTAAGTATAATCCAGAATCATCATATTGAGCAAGATGTTGCTCAAACATCTAAGCATCATCAGTTTGCAAGCATAAAATGAAATTATCAACTTACTTTTGAACTTGTGTTTTCAATGGATGCTCTACTTTGAACACGGTATGCTTTGGTTGTCATAGCCAACACTTGCATGGCACTAATAGCAGCAAATCTGTTTTCCTGCTGCAAATATAACTGAGCCACCTGCCTGGAGAAAAAGGCAGCTTTCCGGTGATAACCAAGGGCACCAAAAAGCCGAGCTATTTCAACATACAGTATCAGTCTGTCACTAGCATCAATCAAAGATTTTCCTCCATCTGCTGCAGTTGTCAATAAATCCACCACATCCTTGGCAAGCTCCTGCCTGTTCAAAGAGCAAGAAAGAGAAATTACATAAGAAACCTCATTCAGACAGAGAGATCACCAAATATTGATTGGCGTAATAGGACAACACTGAGCTTGTCCTAACGTGTGTAGCTGAATTTGACAATGGGAAAAAGTAGAAAGCAATAATTAAATTTGCTTCATATGACTCAGTTTCAGAGTAATGAACAACTGCCCACAAGATCAGACTCAAAAGGCGTCATCAATACAAAATGAGGATTTTTTTGGATGAGTGGAAGCATGAGGTGAAAGTTATATGAGAACTCAATTGACATCTTATAAACAAAATACAAATAAATGTCGAACAGGGAACAGAGTACGGGAGTTACTGTCTACCTAAATAAACAAGGAATATCAGTTGGATATAATCTAGATGCCCTGGTCCCAAAGTGAACAAGCTTCAAAAGCATATCCAAATTGTCTGAATAGATCATTCAAAAAGTGGGAGTATAGGGCCATGAGGGCAAAATACATTTCACTACTCAATCCTCAATTCAAGCCTACCAAAGTAATGCAGCAATCACCTTATCCTTTATCCTCTTAGGGAATCAAAGATACAGCATTGTAAAGTGGAAATGAAACCTATGGGTTAATTTTTTCCATTTATATATTTATTCTGATTCAATAGAAGTAGTTAATGATGGCCTAACTACTCGGATCAGGGAGCTATTTTGGTAGGGTAGCAAGAAAATAGATTAATCAAGGAAGAGTTGTACACTTTCAATCTTTTGTAAGCAAATCTTGAAGTTTCAAGAAAAAAATTCAAGACTAAAGAAGAAAAATCATGGAGAAATTATCTCCCCTACACAGCATAGCAAGATGATACTGCTTACGCATTTCATGTTTTTTTATGTCCAAAAGAATGCATATGACATAAATCATGAGAAACTCCAGTATTTATCACAAAACTCAAGAATTTGATAAGACTTACCTGCAGAGGAATCTTGCCAGCTTCAGTGTAGCCTCAAGTTCAAAGCTTAAGGGAGAAACCCTGCATATAGAAAAATTATTATCATGACTCCCTTATACAGATAAAAAATGGATATCAGACAGCAATTAGACTCCAGAATAACATTTTTGGCCTTCTAGACAGCAAGCAACATTAAGTCATAGCACATAATGTTCCCATCTTGAAGTAACATCACAGGTAAAGGGGGCTTTTATGCAGATCAGGAGCTAACCATAGCAGCAGCATGATTCGTTGCAGAAACTTGTGAAGACATTTTCTTTTCCTCAAATAAAAGCTAAGGTGGATTAACTTTTCAGAGTTTGTCTAACTGTTCAGGTCTAAAAAAAGTGGTAGTACAGAGAGATTGTGTTTTATGTAAGGTTTTGCTGAGGCGGACAACGAGCAACATTTTTAAGTATCAGCATAAAGTTGCATGACATCAATTTGCATTGGCCAAATAAACCTCAATTTTCGCTCTATTTCTCATTGATTCATGTAACCATTAAACCTCAATTTCGCCAAAAAGGTGTCATTCATGTTTTGTGAATTTTAACCCCAATTCAATCCGACACAAAATCAATAAGTACCTACTCACATCTGGGTCTAATCTACCATGGAAATACCTAACCACTCACCAAAGAAACAAACAAAACAAAGAAAGACAAAACTACCCAGTCTGATGTTCCCCATTGTAGCAGCTTATCATTCATGTAGCCAGTATAATGTTGGCACAGGAATTTGCATTAAGGAGGGCAATCATTCGAATTCAAAAGGCAGCAAACTGAATCAAAATATAATCTTCCTTCCTCACCTTGTGAAGGTCAACAACTTTATGAGGTACAACTCTAGTCCCTAGTCATTTGGTTCGTGATACAGTAACCACTAACGTAGAGGTTCTTATATCCAAGCAACTGTATCCATACATCCACTGGCTAAACTTAAATATGCAGTCGCAACAAAGGCTGCAGAAGGAATTATATTCCAACTATGAATCATGTGTAGCCTCTCTTAGGTCTAGAATACAAATTGTCCGGTCTCCAATCCCATACATATCCCATTAATTCTTGGCGATAATCACTCTATTTATAATACACATCTAAGATGCCATTAATAATTCATTTCCCTTATTTTACGGAAGATATATCTCAGATTAAAGGGGGAAAAAAAGAGAAGATAGCGTCATGTCAAAGAAACCATAAGAAAAGGAAAGTGATAGTAGATAAACGAGAAGAACAGCTGTCTACATCGTTGACAAGAGACTAAGAAAAAGACAAATACCTCTGAGCATTTTCTTGGATAAACGATTTTCTGTAGTGCAAAATGACACTATTGTAACGATATTTCACTTCCTCCTCTAGAAGTGGATCCTTCTGGCCCATTCGGTCTATCTAATAAAAGAAAAAAAATGAAAGAAGATTGTATTCATGTGGACCAAAACCTTGTGAAAAGAACTATTGCAACACAACAGAAAACACCCAAACACTTTTAAAAGAATTTACAACTTATGGAGTTGAGAAACTAATGCACACGTATCACCTTCACAATCAACATATTTGGAGCTCTAAACTTGAATCCATTTCATTTTATGACCAGAAAACAGTAACTGAAAAATACTTAAAACTTTAAATGCCTTCTTAGCTTGAAGAATTGGATTAAAGAGGACTAGATTCTTAGGATTAAGACTCCCAGTATCATCAATCTCATGACCACAAGACTTTTCTCTAAACCATTTCCTATAACTGTTAGTGTCCACAATATAATCTCTGGTTTTGGGATCGACTGTTTCACTAAGAAAAGTACCACAAACATGACATTCCAAACTTGTCCTTCTTGGTTAATTTTCGAAGGCCGTGCAGCAGCCCAACATTTTAGTAACTCCTCTCAAGAAAAAGAAGCAGAGCAAACTGTGATAGCCATCATGAGCATTTGAGAAGATGACTGGTAGGCTCACCAGCAAAGCGCACACACTTCCCTCCATAGCTCCAGCATACCAGAAAAAATCCCCAGTCAACCTAGCAAGTTCCAGGGCAGTGGAATAATGAGCATTGGCGTCAACAGGTGAACCAGCCAATAAACAGTAATCTCCAATGGTTTTCTGAGCACGACCAAGTCGTCGTTTCTTTGCCTTGATCACCTGTAAATTAAAGAATCATGTAAAGACATGGGAAGGTGTAGCAGTAATCGAATGCAAAACGGATGAAAGAAATGCTAGCTAGTACTAGTACTAGTGTGCTGCTGCTGCTACTACAACAGTAGGACACCTAAAAGTGTAAAAACCTCCTCAGAGCTAAGAGTGGCTTGAGAATCTAAAGGGGTCTTCAAAATAGTTCCGCCAGATTCGGCTCGAAGAACCCATTTCTCAAATTCCATGAGCAAGGAAGCAGCAAGATCTTGCATCATAGTCAGGAGGTGGAGTTCCTGAGTTTGTGGATCGGCAGGGGGGAACAAAATCAGGTTAGTCCCCTTGTGACTCTCGTCCTCGAGCTGCAAAACAATGTCCATCCATTATTATTATTATTATTATTTTTTTTTTGAGAAGTTGATCAAGGAAACCGGAGAGGAGTTCATTATGTGATTAGCATTAGAGTAGAAATATCTGAAGCATGTAGTTGTAGAAGAATAAAGCAGTAAGTGAGAAATGGGGAACCTGAGAATCGCCGGGGGAGAAGGCGAAGCAGCGGTGAACGAGAGAAGAAGAGTAAGGCTTGGAGGCGGAGGCGAAGTGAAGGGCAAGGGAGTGGAGATCGGGGGAGGAAGGGCAGTGAGAGATGCCGATCACGGCGAGGATCTTGCGGTTGGATTGGAAGTCCTCCCAAGGGCTGGGAGGGGATCCAGCGAGAATGAACTTGAAGCGGAGGGAGGCGGAGGGGGAGTCCCAGGGCTGGTGGGAGAAAGGGGACTTTTGATGCTGGGTGTAGAAGGAGCTGATAGAGGAGAGGGAGACGGTGTGGTGGCGGAGGAGGAGGGAGGAGTAATGGCGGAAGAGGTGTGGGGGGATAGGTCCGATGGGGAGGACTGCTACTCGGATCATGCAGCTAGTCTCTATGCTCACATCCGGCTCCATTGAGAGATACTACTACAATTGTTTCTTTCTTTCTTTCTTTTTTTTTTTTTGGTTTTTTCGGAGGGGAGGGAAAATCCCTGGCTTAGTTGTTTGGATTGCGGTCGGTGATATGCTGCCTCGGCCACTGCTCAGTAGCAATTAAGTACTTTTACTACTGCTAGTGGTGGTTGAGTAGTCAGTCAGTCAGATGCTTAATTGTGTTAGGCCGGGGAGGAGAGGTCCGGCCTTCCGCCCATTCCATAATTTTTTATCCCTTGTGTTAGAAATAGAATAGCAGCAGCGGCCGGGAGGAGGAATGGAACATTTTTTGTTGCAGAGGCGAGGACTGAGGACCCAGGACCCAGGAGGAGAAGAGAAGGAGACCGGTGTTTCATTTCATTTTTCATTTTTTACTGCTAGTATAGTAGTATTTTGTTGGAGACCGTGGGGGCGGGCCGGCCCTCAAAGCCCTATAAAATCGGCTCCTCTGCGCCGTAACGTATATAAAAAATCGCTCACCCGAATGGAGGACGCCCAGCTCCGCTCCAATAGTAGCAATTAGCCATAGCCATAGCGGCCCTGGCGATCTCTTTCTGAAAGTCTCGATACTCCATTTCTAAATCTTCTCCCTCTCCCATCCTGACAAAAAAAAGCAGCAGCAGCATGGATCCAGAAACAACCGACCTTCCTACTCCATGTACATCTTCCGCAGCGGTCGTTGATCGTCTTCGCCGGTCCCTCTCCTCATGCTCCCAGGCCTGCTTACTCCTTCACTCTCCACTTCTTTTCTTCTGCCCTTTTTCTTCTTTCCTTCCTTCCTCCCTGCTGCTTCTACTAATTTTCAGTTTCCAACTTCTTCTTTTTTTGAAAAAAAAAAAAAAATTTTCCCCTGCTGCAGTTGATTCAAACCGGCGTTGATTTCCGCAAGTCCGAGCAATCTTTGTCGGACCTCGTTCTTTTCCTCAACTCCATCTCCGACTCTTTTGTCAGGGAACCAGAAAACCAAGACTTGGAGAATGCCTCTTTTCAAATTCTCACTGAAATTCGTCTCTTCATTACCTCTTCTTCAGTGGACCAGGTGCTTTTCATTTCTTTCCCAAATTTTTTCCAAGGGAAATAAAAGAGTAAAGTTACTAGTACAGCTCTAACAACTGTAATTCTTTGCAAAGATGTAATCTTTTGTTTGTACTATTTATCCTTTTTTTTTTTGTCCTTCAGTGTTCTTGTACTTATTATTCATTGAACGGAGTGTCATTGTGCAGCAGGCTGTTATTGACGCTCTATCATTTGAGTTGCCAAAGACCGCTGCTAGGTTCGCCTGTGTATCTCCAAGATGTATGGAGGTTGCTCAATCCATTGTGGATTGTTTTACTGACAAGTGTAGTCCTCGCGATATGCTTTCCATTCTCTGTGAGGTTTGTATATATTCATGCCCTACACTCTCGCCATGCCCGACTCAGCCCCATAAGTTTCACCCTTCTTTTCTCACTCACTCGTTTTGTTTTTTTGGTTCAATCGTTCTAGATTTTCTGTTAAACAAGATAAGTGCCTGGATATGATTCGTCTCCAATTGTTATGGGCATTGGATCATTGGAAGACAAGGTCTAGACTAATTAACAACGATAGAGTATCTAAATGGTGCTTTTTTCCTATGTGCGGATTAACTTGGATCAACCTACTAAGGATGAATGCTATTTCTATCTCAGATCTTAGGCAGAAATGCCTACCATTTGATGGGGTTTCATTTCTGCAACACCAGCTAAATCTGTAATAAGATTCCTGTTGGAAACAATACCAAGTGTAGGAGTGCTTTATCTGAATTGAATCTTCATTCTTTTGGATGTACATTGGGATCCAAGATGGCCCATTTTATGAATATGATTATGTTGCCTTCAGTATATTTGAACTCTTGTAGTGGTATTGAGTTTTTCCACTTGGTCACTGATACTTGTAAATTATCAGCATATACTGTATTGCAGTTTCTTTATGAACGTTTATGATTACACAGGCAATAGGTTCTCCTAGGGATGCGTTCACGGTGCCAAGTTATTTCGCTCCTCTACTAAGTGGCTTTCCAAAAGGTAAAGTCATCTATCGCTCTTGACTTTTGTACTAATTGCCGTCTAATCAATGATATAACTGGCCTTTTCCTGGGATCTCTTAATTCATACCTATGTATCTGGAAAATTTGTCTGACTGCTGATGCATGACCTTTGGTTAACCTGTTTTTCGAGCTGAATGTATATTGTCTCTAGGTAATTAACTTTCTATGGCTCATGGCCACATGATCCAGCTCAACGATTTTCAGTTACTTCGGTGATGTTTATGTTCCATGTCTGGCTTCAAATTCTCAAGTTGTTATCTTTCTGCTGGATTCAATTGACTTTTACTTTTTAACTACATCTTTGCTCTCTATGAAATACATTAGGCGCTATGATGATTTGTTCATTTGGGTCATAAACTTGTTTTTGGGTGTCAGTTTTTGTTTCAATAAGGAGGAGGCAATTTGAGCAAGTAAAAGCTGCAGTTCCCGTTATTCTTAATGCTTTGAAGGCAATAGTACTAGATTCAGATGATAAGGATGCAGATCTTGGCGATATTTTCCACAAAGCAAATTGCATTGCTGATTCTATGAAAGCAGTTTGTCTAGAGTTGGTCTGTGATGCTTTTGAATTAATCATAATTTGGATTATTCCGATGTCTTGATTACTTCTTATGGTACAACTGTGTATGGCAGGAAGGCAAGGACAATGAGAAACTCTGTGCGTTATTGGGCCTATTTGTCTTGCAGATCACGGTCAATACAACTTTTAGTTACATCTTAAGAGTTTCTAGCAGTTTTTAGTTTTTCTTTTTACTTTTCTTATGTTTGATTTGGCCTTTGTGATCCAGTTTTTCATCTCTATAGCATAATGGTCATTCTCAATGTTTGCAGGCCCTTGCTTCAATGGGCATTGAATATAGGCTTGCACACTCTTCTCCTTTGGTGCTAAAGCTGTCACACTTCCTTCAGTCTTGTGGTTTATCATATCTTGGTTTGATAATGGGGACAGATGTTGAAAAACTTTTGGGCATTGCTGTGGGAGGTACTGAATTAAGGTTCTCTTATTGCTACATCTGGTGCTTCATTTTGTCACTCAGTGCACCTGTAAATCTACAGATGGTGGAGATGATTTGGTGGGTTGTTTCTCTGACATCTGGCTTGGCGCGTCAATTTTAGGTTCAATCTAGCAGTCTATAGAGTTTTTCTTTTGCTTCTCATCTTTTAGCTTATGTTGCTAGGATTGTTAATAAATGCTACCATTGTTGATTTCTCTCTGGAAATGTTCACACAGTAATTTGGGGTTACAAGTCAAATGAGGTTGCTTTGGCTGCTGGGGCAGATTTGGTGGCACTCAAGGACGAACTTCAAAGTAGCCGGATTAAAAGATGGCATGCAGTGGGCATGTTAAAGCATGTACTATTGTGCTTATATCTGCCATTGGAGTTGAAGAAGGATGCCATTAACTTCCTGCTAAGCATTATGTATGCAAAGTTATCCCAGATGCCTAATGATGAAAATGAAGACTACTCAACTTATATGCCAACTCTTTGTTCTGCTTTGCAGGTAGCTATTTGGTGTTTACAGTTCCAGTGTACTATTTGTCCTTTTTGTGTTTCTTTGCTAACAGTTGAGGCACAGTGTAGGCTATTCAAGTGGTAATTATGTATGCAACAGATGTAATCCTACGGAAGAATGCTTTTGCAGCATTCAAAGAGGTTTGTTCTTGTGTCTTTATTTGCTTTTGTGGTACCAATACAAAGCTTTGGATCTTATGCCTGAGCCAAATTTTTCTACAGCAAGAAAAGCCGAGAAATTAGAGATTTTTGTTCTGTGTGGTTAGGATAAAAATTTCTTGTTCAACTGCAAATATTTAAAAAATTATTTGGGATAGAAAAGTTCCAAAAAAATTTTCCTTACATGAATGTTTAAAAGAAGTTGTTGATAGCATGTCATTTCCATCATAAACAGTATCAGTAGACAATGTTTAGTATGACTACACGCACCAATAGTATCCTCCTATCGCTTCATCCCTCCCTCCATGCGCCTAGCAAAATTAGTGCAAACTGGGAGGTTTATTGACTTCCATATGTGGCTCACCTCCCCCATGAACTGTGTGTACTCCTTATACTGCCACCCATGACTCTCACCAATTACATGATCTTGCATACAATTGCCACAAATTTGAACTTATGCCCATTGCTGTGGAGTGTTTATGTGTAATTTGTAGTTTTAACGTGCTGATCATTGATCTGTTGCTTCATATTACTAGTTACTTGCAGATTGTCCAACTTCCCTAAGATTTGACATTTTAAGGGCATTAATAAAAGATGGCGACTCTTCTTCCATGGTAAGTGCTTGACAATTCAGATGTGCTTTTGCAATATAACAGTACAACTCATCTTTATAAAGTATTCTGGTGGGTCTAATTTTCCTGTTTAGTCTGTACTTGTAATTACACACACACATGCATGCATGTATCAACACACACACACACATATTCTTAAAATTAATACATGTAAACATTCCTGTACGTATATGCACCTATCAACAATTTTATGTTTCTTGTTGAATGATGAAGATTGCAGTGCTTCTGGACTGTGTTAGGGAGGAAGTGCGCCTAGAAAGTAGCAAAAGTCCGCCTGCAAGCAAAGTCTCAAAAGCAGAAAGCGAAGGCTCTCAAGGCACTATTTTTTGGAGTTCGAGTGCCCTTGAATTGGTGGAGCTGGTTTTGAGGCCTCCAGGGGGAGGGCCTCCATCGCTTCCAGAGCACAGTGATGCAGTAAGACTCTCCCTCCCTCCTTTCCTTGTACTGTTTTACATGTCCAAAAGAGATGATTTTCTCTTCTAGACAGTTATCAACATTCATCTTCCACCGTTTTGCTTAATGGGTTTGCCTGATGCTGTGTGACAAAATAAGTTTTCAGGTACTGCAGAACAGACCCAACCAATCAACCAACATACATTGGTTGATTATGCTGCCTTCAAACTCAGTTCACAAAGTCCATGATCAAAAGTACTTCTATGCCACTTGTCAAAAATCTGACCAGATACATTTTTCTTGCTTCTCTTTCATGCAGGTTCTTTCTGCTCTCAATCTCTACAGATTCATTTTGATCAAGGAATCGACTGGTAATTTTTAATATATATATATATATATATATATATAGTTTTTTTTTTCTGGGGTGGGGGGGCGGGTAAGATAATGGAAATTTAAGTACAGATTGTGTTCATGGGATGTTTACCGCCGCATGTTATTAGATCTTTGTTTGCTGTGCCAGAAGATTTGAGATACAAATTGTAGGCATGCTATGCTTGGAAGTCGATTTTAGTGGTTTCCTTTATAGAATTATTATATTTCTGTAAATGGTCTGGGGTTGATTACATTTATCTTCCTGTGATTTAGCATATCAGACCCTGAGTTTTGGCCATATTACCAAACAACCCTTCAAAAAATATTCTTGATAACAACTAGCCGCTTTCTCGTCCGTCAACCTGCATTGACCGTTTGAAAACTAACTTGGTCAGCTAAAAATTGAGACTGAATGTTCCGAAATGTCCGTTGGTAATTAAAACCTGACCCTTATCCCCTTCTTCCTGTATTCCTCCCTTCCAAACGAAAAACCCCAAGTGGCCATGAAATCTGTCAGGAAAGCTTTGCAAACGAGCCATCACTGCCTGAAGCTACCAACCTCATCATTTAATACAAGTCAAAAAATATGTTGTCCAGGTCAGATATGACACAAGCTGAGAAGGTGATTTGAAGAACAAGCATCAGTCACCTTGGAAAAAAAAATCCAATGAAGCCACGTACTATTGTGCTGTTGTGGTGGAATTCATCCCAGCTTCAAAAAGGAATGTGAAAAAGAACCCTTTAATGCCTAGAATCAAATTTCACACGAGTGCCCATATTCTGCAATTGATAGCACAACAAAACATGAACATCTCTTCTAGTAATCCTTCTTTCTTCATTTATTTTCGTTTTTTTTTTTGGCCAAAGAATGCTTTTTTAATATCTTTCATTTGCTTCTGAAATCTTTTTAAGCAGAGGATTTTTTGTCTTTCTTATCTTCTTGTTGCTTGATACCTTTATGGATCCAAATTTTGCTGACGTGCTCTGAATGGCGAATTTGGTTTTGCAATTTGATTCCTGATCTCATCTCACTACTGCAAGGACACCTGAAACAGGAAAAAGCAACAATTCCGGGGTGCTTTCCAGGGACAGCCTGGTGAAGGCTCACAGTGAATGGCTTCTGCCTCTCCGGACTTTAGTGACAAGAATGATGGCTGAAGCTCAATGTGACAGTGACGAACTAGCACTGTGTGGCTTGAATCCGGTCGAGGTTGTCTTGTATCGTTGTATCGAACTTGTTGAACAACTTCTGTAGAGCGTGTCGCGAAGAACTTGTTGATTACAAAGCTTTCTTTCTTTGTGGGTGCTGCATTAATTATCGCGCTTGTAAAAGTACATTCAAAAACCTTCTTCAAATGCGAAGTTAAAGGCCTTCTTGTAATATTATTATTATTATTGCGTCTCTCTCTCTGGCTAAATAAATGTGAGCGTAGACGTTCAGTGCCGAAGAAGTCTCCTTCAAGATCCGTCCGTCTCCGTCTTTAAGAGAGATATAGTCGTCATCTCTGGGAAGCGCAGGCAGTCCGCATCTGCGTGTGTACGTGGGGGACTGCTGCATCCGTACGTGCACCGATCCTCCCCTTTCTTTCTGGACTGTCAATTTAGACTTTAGAGAGCGTGGGGACCAATTCCTCCCGCTCCGAGCAAGACTCTCACACCCGACACGACAACGGCCATGCAGACGCAGGCTGCTTGGTTTTATTATTATTGTATAGTATCAGAAAAAAGTATAATGCTCCTCCGACGTCGGTTAAAAATTCCATGGGCTCTGTAATAGATTTTAGATAAACAAATCCGTCAAATTCCGCAAGTAATATATGCATGCCATTTTACCTATAACAAAAAAAAAAAAAAAAAGAATTTTCTACTGCATTTTTGGTCCACACCAAACCAAATACGGTCAGGTCAGTCCCACCGGGGAAAAGAAGAAAAAAATGAAAAAACTTGGAACAAAACGTCAAAATTTTCTACATACCTAAAAGCATACTACTATTAAATTTCTAAACTAGTCAGCGGCCTCCTCCTACAATTGATTGGTAAGAGAGAGAAGATAAACCGGGGACGACCTTCTGTTCCTCACTCGTTCATCAGCTTCGAGAAGATCTTTCTCAGAGAGTAATTTACAAGGGACGACCTCCTTTGCCTCGGCAGCAAAGTTCGGAAACAGCTACATATATTTGATTCATCAAGACAAGACGGCCACTGGTAAAAAAGCATGGCCCCCTTGCTTCAGAACATAAAAGGAAATTTGCTTTTTTCCTTCAATTGAATTGCGTGCAAAACTTCAGGGCCAAACTCTTCCTCTGCTGGCGTCACATTTAAATCAGGTAGGACAAAGCAACTCTCCTGCAAATCAACACCCGTTTCTGCTCTTCTGCTGGAACCTGATGATACAAACCCATCCTGCACTGCAAATCGTGGCATGGATGGATGATGAGCGTCGTCACAGGTTGATACTTCCATCTGACTGCACTTAATAGGAGGATCCACAACCTGTCTGTCACCACCCCCTGTTGTTCCGCACATCTCACCTGACGTTTGTAGATTTAGGTCAATCTGCAAAATCAGCAAATGCAGAATTACCCAACTCTCCAGAGAGATTTTCTAAAAGTAGGATGGCATTTTGTCTTCCTAAAAATCACCAGAATATTGAGGATGGCCGAAAAAAAAAAATGAACTTGAACATCATAGCAAAGTAGAGCAGAACGTACCTTGAATCTCTTCAGGTTCTCACTCCTGGCTTTCTGTTCCTCGAGTGTGACGTGCAAGGATGCCAGTTCCTAGTAAAACAATAACAGAAGTTCAGACTAACGGGATAGTAGAATTAGTGGAAGCATATAAAAACTCCGGAATAGTAGGGAGGGAGGATAGGCAGTCATGAATAACGGAGGTAAGGGAAGGGAACATACCCTCGTAAGAGTCGCTCTCTCCTTCAATAGCAAATCCTCTTCCTCTTTAAGCTCCGCAAATGTCTAAAAAATGGTGAAAAGTGTTCCCTATTAGAAATGAATGAATGAATGAATGAACGAGGGTATAAAAGAAGTAGTTTTGATGCGTAGATGGGAATGCAATCAGAGTTACTTATGAGGTTCCCAAAAAATAAAGGAATTACCCTCTTCTTCTTTGATTTCTTGTTGTTGCTGCTGTAGACGTTGGCGGCGTCAATGGCAAAAGCACCCTGCAAAATACACAAGCATCATACACCATGATCAGAGACACGGGAGAAGACTAGCAATTAGTACGTGGGGAGGAAAAAAATGACCAACCGATTCAACCGTGGATTGGAAAAGAAGGAAGTGAATATGTGTAACAAAAGAAAGCTAGGCAGAGCAGCGTCAGGAGGAAGCCAGCCCATGTAACAATCCATACAGAGCGTGTAAAATAATCCATCCCAAAATGAAAAGAAACAGAGAGGAGCCGACAGTGTGGGTGGTCGACATCTGGGAAAGCCGAAAGGGAGAAAAGTTGGACCGTGTTACATGGAGTTGGGATTGTGAAATACACAGAGAGGGAGAGGGGGAGAGATCCGAGAATCTTATTATTAGATATTAGCTTAGGAATCAGGCTTTAACAGATACTACTTGTTTCACTCCTCTCTTTTTTGTCTACTTTTGGACACCAGATAAGAAGATTCTCAGACATCCGTTAATCACAAGTCACTCGGAGAATTCATTTTCATTCCACTGATCAGTTATTACTCTCTTCAAGTGGATGGAAGACCAACATCATTAATTAATATCATCGTGTTACATACATGGATATGGCCGTGACGAAGTGGGGGACCACCCTGACCCTGTCATCACCAATCATCCCCTCCCCCCCCCCAGGGACTAACGGAAGATAATTTTAGTACACCACACAAGTCAGAACTCAGAAGAAGAGACCCCTCCCTCCCTCCCGAGGAGGAGGAGGAGGACGACGACGACGACGACGTCGTCCAGCAGGTACTTAGTTAGTACTACTACTACTCATCATAAGATGACACACCACCCATTTGTAGAAAACTCCTACTCATCTTTGTGACCAATGGACCCCTCATCACTAACTAGTCTCTCGTGCGCTTTAAGAAACTTCCTCGCCCGATCCGCCCCCCCCCCAAAAAAAAAAAAACACTCCGACTTCCCCTTCCGGCCATCAACGCCTCCATTTCTCATTCCCACCACATGCTCTAAATGTCGTTCCCCTTCCTAGAAGTTAGACTCGACTGGGAAAAGAGAGAGGAAAAAAAATACTACTATTAAAAGGTCGAAAGTAGGTTGTACTACTAGTTTTTTTGTTTTTACACCAAACCGGATTTTATTGAAATAAATAAAAAAAAAAAACCGGCAATTGGCGGATTGGAGAATCAACAATCCGAAAGTAGTGTGTGTGGATCCACTGAGTTTCTTATAGCTGAGAATAATAATAAAAGAAAGAAAATCCAAGCTCAGAAGCTGCTGCTGCTCATTATCTATCTCACGTGAGGGAATCTTAACCTCCCCCAGACCCACACCATTTTCGTCCCCATCCAATTCCTAGCAGCAAAGCAACCAATATATTACACCCACTACCCCTACTTAAATACGTACTAGTGTGATATATATCCCCACTTAAAACTGACCGCACCACCAAATCCTCCTCCCAGATCCAGTCCAAATTCTGCCATGACAACCTAATCTGACCAAAATGCCCTCCCCCCACGGGTATTGGTCAAAAAACAAGGGTGGTCACTCTCGTCAACTCAAATGCTAATTACCAACTTTACCCCTCCTCCTTCCTCACTTAACACACACACACATACACACACCCCCCCCCCCCAAAAAAAATCAAATAGTAACAAATACAAGTAGTAATAGAAATCGACGACGACCCCCAGACCGATAAGCTGATTGAGATTGCGCTAAATACTCGGATGAACCGCCATGACTCAACAAACCCCCTCCCCCCTTCCCTCCCTCTTTCCTGAAAAAAAAAAGTCCCTCCCTAATCCAATCTCAGACTCTACTAATCTCCCACATAGCGGTGTTGGGAAGAAACCCACAAAGAAGCGTATTCCAATGGCCCCTTGATAGCTCTCAGAATTTTTGAAAAAAAAAAAAAAAAGCCGAAATAAATGGGGCTTTCAATTGCGGAAAAAATGGGAAAGGAATGTCCTTTCGGCTTCTTGAAAGCTAGAAAAGATAAATAAAGAAACTCCCAGACTCCCACCACCTCTCCACACCCACACCCCAAAAAAACCAACCATAACTCCGTAAGGGCAGTTTAGTCAGCCGCTGTGACCTGGGTGAAAATTTTTTCACCACCCCCCTGCCCAGTGTCCACCCAAACCACTACTGACATCAGATCCTAACCCAGATAGGGGATGCTCATTCCCGGAAAGCTGACGTCAAAACCTGGGAAACTAAAAAAAAAAAGAACCAGGGGTTGCTCATTGAATACTGGTACCAGCAGAATAACGAAGGAGATGGAATAAAACCCAATGACAGGAGCTACTGATCGGAAAAGCTAGAGCGTCAGAAAACACAGCTCAAAAAAACACACGGTCATCGGTGCTCGAATAGGTCCGAGAGGAAGATGACCCAAAAAAGACCCAATTACGGATGTTTTGTCGAGAAGGAATAAGCGGGTAGGTCAGTTAAAGGACCAGCAGGCCAGAAACCTGAGCCGTCGTAGAAACTCGGACGAGAATCCAGGCAGAGGAGAGAGAGGGAGAGGGAGAGGGAAGGAGATGATACAAACCTTGGATCTGGATGGATCGGAGGAGGAGGAGGAGGTGGAGAGCAGGGGGCGGGTGGAGCAGTCGTCATAGGCACCGTCGCTGGGGGAGGCAGCGCCGCCGCTCCAGGAGAGAGGCGTGGTGGGGCTACACCTAGTGGTAGTTGGAGCAGTATTGGTGGTGGAGTCCTTCTTGGTGGCGGTGGGCTTGGACCTGGGCTGGCGGTGGCCCCATCCAAACGGGAGGGAGAGCGGCTTGGGCGGCTCGCAGAAAAAGGAGGAGGAAGAAGATGAAGAAGATTGCTTGAGGCGAGAAAGAAGCTCGGCGACGACGGAGTCATCGAATAACGCAGCGGTGACCCAGTCGTCCTTCATATTAAAATCTAAACTCTTCGAGCTCCAAGGGACTGAGGTGGTGGATGCCGGGGTGGTGGTGAGATGCAGGAGAGGAGGAGGAAGAGTCAAGTAAAGCGGATATGGAGTAATTACATGGAAAGGGAAGAAGAGGAGGGTGTCGGGGGGGGAGAGGAGAGAGAGAGAGAGAGAGAGAGACGAGAGAGAAGGTGGGGTTGAG